TGTCTTTTCTCTCGGCTGTCTTCCGGCCTTTTCACAACCTGTCAAACACACAGAGAGAGAAAACACAGCTCCACTGTCAGCCAGGAATGTATACTCCATTTTCTGGTTATCTTACATTTATGTTCTACTTTATTTATTGTGTCTTTTGTGGTTCTTTTGTTAAAGAGCAGAGAGCCAGAGAATCTGTGGCATGTTGGTTCCTCGTGGAGGAAGGGAGCGAGGGGAGGAAAAATGACGAGCATGGGAAAGGAGACGGGAACGATGAAATGAAGAGAGAGAGAGAGGGGAAAAGGGAAATTGATACAGAATGAAGCAGAGTGATAGTGAAGTGGTGAGCAGGACGGACGGACGGTGTGTGTGTGTGTGTGGATGTGGGTGTGGTCATTGAGTAACGTTGAGGGTTTACATGGAGACAAAACGCCTCCAGGAGCTGCAGAAGAATCTGAGAGCGAGCGGCTGTTTCCGCACTGCAGAGGCAGAATTTAAAGGATCGTTCCACCGCTTTCGTACGTTTGTCAGTCATTTGGGCTTTTGATGACTTTATACTCTCACAGTTAATTGGTGAGATGTTGGCACATCATGTCAACAGCGTTCAGCAGATGTCCTGTTTTCTTTAGCGCACCACACGAGGATAACGCTGCATGTTGGTCTATATTTTTATAACTGTCAAGTCCAAAAAAAGACCAAAACCATCAGCGTGTTGCTTCGTCTCGCAGCGCTCTCTGAAGCCTGTTGGTTCCTACTGAGGTGAAAACATCTCACAAATGTAGAGTTTAAATTATGAAATAAGGCTCAACAGTTTCCTTAACAGCTGGAGAGTAGTTCAGTTGAGTACTATGGTATCTGTAAATGTACTATATCAAAAGTACTGATAAATGTACCTCAACACATTATACATTTTGTCACTTTTTCATGGGATTTGTAAGAAAGACATAGAATACTGCCGGAGTAAACCACAGAGGTGTTAAGGCCTCTGTGATGTGAAACACTGTACACACTCAGAGCAGTAAGGGGGCGGCTCACCTCTGTACCCAACATGACACAGCATGGTAGTTCAGTCTAAAAACGGCAAAAAGCACCAAACTGCGGATGGACTTTTGTTTGTTTTCATGGAATAAAGTGCTGATCTCTGAATCTCTGTGTGGTTTCATGGATCTGCGACTCCAGCAGACAACGGTCCAGATCCTGGATCAGCGAGCGGCTGTTAGCCGGCTGGTGTTTATGTGTCTGCGCGAGGACAAGCAAAGACGGCCGTGTTGTTGTTGGCCGGCGTCCTGGTTCGGGTGGTCAGCATTGGACAGAGGACATGTGGCCTTTGACGGCCCGCAGGATGTAACATCGCTGCTCTGACCGCTCCGACATTTATTTCATTGTAGTTATTTATTATTACTATATTTTGTTTTATTTATATTTCAAACGACATCACCCTAAACATGTCGGTGTCATCCAAAGGCCTCATTTTCAACTGCAGACCACCAGCAAGATGCAAAGTCTTTACAAACAGAAACACAAAAAACATTTCTGAGAATTAAAAAGTAAGAAAAAGAGTTTCTGGCTCCTCACTTGAGATGATGAAACTTTCATCAGAGTGTTGTCTCATGAAGATGGATACCAAATGTATGAAACAAAGGTTTCGTCATCTTTTACAAAACTTTGAGAATACTTTTGCAAAGTGTTCCATCAAACTTGAGTCGTGATTCTCATGTGAGGAAACGGTTTGACGAGACAGACGGAGTGAAGTTGAAGTTATTCTAAAGGTGGACGTTGACCAGATAGACTTGTGTATTATTGTTATTAAATCCATGCTAATCAGTGCTCTGCTCCTCCAGAACATCCCGCGGCTTTAATCCTCCGTGTATCACGCAGACATAACACAGAGGCTGGTTGAAACAACAGATGGACTTCTTAAAGATTTGCTCTCATGAATGATATCAATCATATAATAGCGAGGTTATCTCCTCGGGGAAAGTATGCAACAATAGAATAGATTTTACGCCAACAAGTAAGAGTAGCAGTACTTGTATTTGAAGTACTTGTGCTTTACTGGAGTTTTTACATTTTATTCTACTTAACAATTCTACTTCACTACATTCCTGAGGGAACGTTGAACCGTCTGCACTACATTTAATTTCAAGATGAAGCTATTTAAATGATTCACAATGTAAGTGTACGGGGAACAAAAGGTATTGTTTGCCGGATGTTGTAATTCCACCGTGTGGCCACTAAAGTTTGCTTCACCGTCCGGCGCTCTTCCTGGAGTCTCGAGCTACTGTACATGTAACAGTAACACTCTGCTCCAACATTAATGTATTAATATTATTAATACAGAATTATAATGTATAACGGTGTGATACTAGCCACGGTCCTTCTGCAGAATGATTACTTTTACTTTTCGTACTTTGAAGTACATCTCGCTGATAATACTTTTATGTGCTTTTGCTTAAGTTGCATTTTGAATACTTCAAAATACCCGGTGTTGCTCTTCTCTCACCTTCAGTTGAGTTTCTGTTGTTTACCGGTTGCTTGCTGTGTATCAGTCTCTGTCTGATGCAGGACTGAAGCTCTGCAGTAAAGCAGCTCATCACAGTGCGAAATCCCTCCACTGTACTAATAATAATCACATCTGACTGCTCTTCATTCATCATATTTCATTCAGTCTGCTGGAAACACCTCACTGACACTCGGAGGTGATGCCGACGCTTCCTGTCTGTTGTCACGGTTCCATCTCGTGACTTCTACATTTGTTTGTGCGCACAGATTATCTCACCTAACAGCTTTGGTTTCTCTTTTTATAAGTAAGCTCACACACTGCCCGTCAATACGACTACATTGATGGACCTTCTGAGGAGGTTGTTAATGTGTACAAATGTTTGTCTTTTAACACAAAGCAAGTCGACTCATGAGGAAGATATTCTGTTGTTGATTCTGTGGATTTAAAACGTATCAGCTGTTCTTTGGTTGAGCCGACTGTGTGGAGTGAGACTCTTAGAGCTTGGTGACGACGGCATGAATACAAATATGTCCAGCATAAATCCGATGCAGACGACATCACACCAATTTTTAATTTAACCTCCTCACTATAGAGTCTAAACATTAGGAACTCCAAATCATGGAAGTTTATTTATCTGATTTTCAGATCTTTAAGTCTACAATTAAATTCAGAGATTACTTCTTAATGCATTAGTCAGCGTTTAAAGAACACTTTCAACGCTGTTTTCTTCATGTCTTTCTTCTTCATGACAGCAGGAAGTAGTTCACGGTTCCTGGTTTTTGGAAGTTGTAAATGAACCGAGATGCGGTTTTTGTTTCAGCCCAAACCCACCAAGGGTCGGATGAGGATCCACTGTCTGGAGAACGTGGACAAGGCTCTGCAGTTCCTGAAGGAGCAGAGGGTCCACCTGGAGAACATGGGCTCCCACGACATCGTAGACGGAAACCACCGCCTCACCCTGGGGCTCATCTGGACCATCATCCTCCGCTTCCAGGTAAGAGGCAGCCACGCATGTTTGCATCCCATGACGACGTAGATGTAGTCCGACACATCTGGGCAACCAGATTCTGTTCCACAAATACAAAAAAACACCTTCACACACTGTGGTAAGTGTGCTATCTTGTTAATCATAAAATGAATCATTAATATTTTAATTACAAGATAAAGTTCCACATTATTTCTGCAGAGATGACAGCAGAGTCGGGGTAATGTTAAATCCTTTATAATCCTAAAAATGTGACTAAAAGATTAAGAGTTGTAAGTTTAAATGAATTCATATTTTACTGTTTTTTACACATTTCAAATTTATTTCTTTGAAGTGAGAAATAAACTGCTCTCACCTCATTACGTCCCTGAGCTGCTTTTTTTAATTATTTATCTGCTTCAAAGCCATTGATCTCGGTGAAAATGACCTCATTTAATGACTGAAATCACACTCGTCATCTACTGTATGTCGATGGGGTCGTGGTGTCACTCGGGTGATGATGTCGTCATCGGGGACAGTGAACAGTTGGCTGAAAAGGATTTAGCTTTTATAAGCCGTGAGGATTAAAAAAAAACTCTTTTTCGTGGTTTTAAATCCTGCAGCGGGTGAAATGGAGCCGAGTGCAGATTGACAGCAGGACCACAGTGTTGGTCTGTGTGTGTGTGTGTGTGTGTGTGTGTGTGTGTGTGTGTGTGTGTGTGTGTGTGTGTGTGTGTGTGTGTAAGCATGTGAGGTTCATATATGCCTCGGCGGTGTTGATTTTGCTGATTTGTGGCTCAGATGTGACTCACGCTTCTATCAGGCTGAAACTGATGGATGTCAATCAATGAAGGTGAGGTGTGTGTGCTGTCATTCTATCTTTGTGAGGACATATCAGATTTTAAGATAGTTTGGAAATTGAAGGTTTTCATGATATATTCTAAATGTGAGAGTGATTTTAGAAACCGGGGACATGTTTGAACAGGGAGGACCGTTTAAGAACATCTGGATATGTTGTGAAAGTGCAGACATTTTTTTATTTTTATTTTTTATTTTTTTGTCAAAGTGGGGACAGTTTTGGAAAGCATTGCCACTTTTATAAAGTGAGGACATTTTTCATCTGTATGCCCATGTTTAGAAAGTGAGAACATTTTTGGACAGTGAGGAAATGTTTAGAGGGTGTGCACACGTTTAGAAAATATGCACGTGCTTGGAAAGTGAGTAAAATATTTCAGAAGTGGAAGGGCTGAGAGTTGGGTTCAAGGCTGGGGTCTGGGGAATGCATTGTGAATGTCCTCACAAGTGTGGAGGTGCAGATGTTTGTGTGTGTTGATGTGAGGAAGGTTGGTGACAGTGAGGACGTCGGTGCAGACCAGTGATGCGTCATGTCGGTGGTGGACCTCTCATTACACGTGCATGTGTGAGTGAAAGGAGTTTGAAAGCAACAGCGTGGGACATTTTGCTTAGAGATGCCATGTCTGTTTTTATACTGATGCTCTTAATCTTCTTACAGCATGGCATGTGTGTGTTTTTATTTTAAATAAACCCTTTAATATTTAATATCCTAACCGAACATTCAAAATTTTAGAGCTGTGACTGCAGCAGGGATTGATGAATACTTTATGCATAGTTTAGTGTTAATTGAATCTGTAATTCTCAGTTTGATTATGGCTATTATTATAATACCTTTAATTGTTTTCTTTAGCATTGTTTTCTCCTCCCCATGCTGTGGTGCAATTTATCCGGTTTTCTTTATATACGTGTCTTTTCAGTAATGAGGGAACGATTGATTTAATAACTTGCTGATCAAAACAAAGTTGAAAGTGCTGCATGAATGCTGTGATGTTGACTTAAGTGTCTCACAAAGACAATTACACACAAAATCTAACTCTTCCGGTGTGAATATACTTGAATAAGAAGCAGATTCGTCAACAAGCGGCCTCCTCTCTCATTAAGAGTCTGTTACATCGGTGCCTTCTCTGTCTGTGTTTGTCTCAGATCCAGGACATCAGTGTGGAGACGGAGGACAACAAGGAGAAGAAGTCGGCTAAAGACGCTCTGCTGCTCTGGTGTCAGATGAAGACGGCAGGGTGAGAGTCCACACACGAGCTTTAAAAATAACTTCCTCACATCTACATTTCTAGATTGTTAGTGCGTCTCCAAAGTTCAGACTACATTTCCCATCAGCCCCGTTGCCCCCTGTTCTTCTCCCTGAACAAATTGGAAGTGATATTTTTCCCCCCTCAGCTTTAATCTTTCCACCACCAACCAGAATCGTTTAAACGCTTTAGTTCTGTTTGCTGAGCAGAGTCGAGGCTAATAAAGTGAGACAGTGATGTGATGTGTAAAAGACAAACGGAGCACCATTAAGTACCGTTCAGTAGCGGCGGTGTGACGCGAGAACCTGACGAGCTGTGATTTCCTCTTCCTGTCCAGATATCCAAACGTCAACATCCACAACTTCAGCACCAGCTGGAGAGACGGGATGGCCTTCAACGCTATCATCCACAAACACAGGTACTACTACTACTGCTACCACTACCACTGCCACTACGACGACTACTCTTCTACGCTATGGAGTCATTTCACAGATTCCAATAAAATGAAGTTACTGTACATTGATAATAATGTTCATTTGGGACAGAACACTTTCATTTTATCGCCCTCATACAGGCAGATGTTTGTGTTTACAGTCAAACGAGCTGCGTACTCATGATGCCACGAGAACCGTTTAGAAACTGCTACAATCACGTGAAACGTTTTACACAAAGCGGCTTTAAAGAGAAACTTTCTCCTCACGGCCTTTGTTATCCACAAACACAAGTGAGTCCAGCGTCACGTCATTCCACATGTCCTGTCGTACCTCTGCACACAGGCTTCTCTTTAATAACTGTAGAGTCTCAGCTGATCAGTCAGCAGGCTGTTTCCCTCAAACCAAACTGAGACTCAAATCATGTCTTTATTATATAAGTAATACTAAGAACGGTCATGCAGCAGATTGGAGAAAACAAAAAGAGATTAACTGAAAATCTCTGATTATTAATCATTTTGGGGGTTTGACTGAAACTTCCACTTGATCTGGAATTATTCTTTTCTTTCCAGTTGGAACAGTTTTAGACCAGTAGGGACGTACAAATAGTTTATGGTTTTATAAGCTGTTTCCAATATTCTGAGTCAACATACTAAATAACAAACAAATTGATGATAACAAATTCATGATTTTACCAGAATCTTCCCCAGAATTTGGTCCCTGGAGAAATGTCACAGAAAGCCCAATTGTTAACTTAAGTATAAATAAATTAAATAAAAATCCAAGTAATTAAATCACTGTAGAGTCCTACAGTAGTAGTAGTAGTTCTCGTGGGGAACTCAGATTTCAACCTGATTTCTGTTTTTATTTGATCAATTACTAAGTTTTTCTTTGTTTGTTGTTGTCGTCTTCAGACCGGACCTGATCGACTTTGATAAGCTGAAGAAATCAAATGCTCACCACAACTTGCAGAATGCCTTCAACCTGGCCGAGCAAGACCTGGGCCTCACCAAGCTGCTGGATGCCGAGGGTGAGGGAGGACACACACACACACACACACACACACACACACACACACACACACACACACACACCTTTTTTTTTCATATAGTATGCTCTCTGACCTTTCACCCTGTGTGTGTGTGTGTGTGTGTGTGTGTGTGTGTGCACAGACATCAGTGTGGACCACCCTGATGAGAAGTCCATCATCACCTACGTGGTGACCTACTACCACTACTTCTCCAAGATGAAGGCGCTGAAGGTGGAGGGGAAGAGAATCGGCAAGGTGACCAAACGCCTCCTAACACCTCAAATACATTCTCACCTCAGCAGACGTTAAAGGACCGTGCTGCTGTTGCTGCTGTTGTTGTTTTAAACATATTTCCTCCTCCTCTCCAGGTTCTGGACAACGCCATCGAGACGGAGAAGATGGTCGAGAAGTACGAGTCTCTGGCGTCGGACCTGCTGGAGTGGATCGAACAGACCATCATCATCCTCAACAACAGGAAGTTTGCCAACTCTCTGGTGGGAGTCCAGCAGCAGCTGCAGGCCTTCAACACTTACCGCACTGTGGAGAAACCACCAAAGTCAGTAAACACACACTCTGATGACTTTAAACTGGCCCCAGTCTTTACCACGGTGTTTGGTATTACTGGCTGATAACATTAAAAAGTAACGCTGAAGAGAAGTAAGACTCATCTATAAAGCAGGGAATAGGTTGGTCATTGTGAACGAGACATTAGTATTGTGTTAGGAGTCATAAGCTGGAGGATTACGTCATTGCTTTCCAAGCCGGACCACAATAGCCAATAAGAGAGGTTTTTTATTAGGCCAAATGGAGCTAAGCACAACTGTCCTCCTCACCATCATTAAGCTTAAACAACCAAATTAACTCTTAGAAAAAGATTCTAAAAATTGTAAAATTTCACATAAACATCTACAAACTTATTCAAGTTTTAACACATTTAAGAAAAACTCTTTACTTTGTAGATCTACTGAGACATGACAGTCTATGACCTAATGCCTTCATGACTATGACTAGTGAGTGGATCAAAAACAAAAACGCATCGAAATGAACATTTAGCATAAAATGTGTTGAAGGTTTTTGTCTTGATTTTTCTCTCTGGTCGTTTGAGGTTTCAGATTGTGTTGCTGTATTAGACTTCGTTATACAGCACAAGTTGTCTGTCGTTTAAACCTTTAAATGTCTGAAACTAAAACTTTAAATAGTAAAATATGAAATGTGTGTGTTTGTGTGTGTGCGCAGGTTCACAGAGAAGGGAAACCTGGAGGTTCTTCTGTTCACCATCCAGAGTAAGATGAGAGCCAACAACCAGAAGGTTTACACTCCTCGAGAGGGCAAACTCATCTCCGACATCAACAAGGTAACTTATCATCATAAAGATAACAGCGTTATTTAATGATGAGAAAATCCCTAAAAGGGTTGTTGCATTACATCTACTTGAAATATATAAATCACAATATCAATTAGAATCTTTTAAAAACTACACATTAACATCTAACCGTTCTGGAGTCACCATCATGTTGTTCATCATCTGTGTAGCTGTTGAGCTGATATTGTGTGCGTTTGTTTTAGGCGTGGGAGCGTCTGGAGAAGGCGGAGCACGAGCGGGAGCTGGCTCTGAGGACGGAGCTGATTCGTCAGGAGAAGCTGGAGCAGCTCGCCCGACGCTTCGACCGCAAAGCCGCCATGAGGGAGACGTGGCTGAGCGAGAACCAGCGGCTGGTCTCCCAGGTAACACGCACTTCAATATTACCATAGTCTTATATCTCAGAAAGGAAGTTCACTAAATAATGTTGTAGAGGCGCAAAGATGGTCAGTCCTGCTCACATCGATTGTTATTTCTAATCCATTCATAAAAGTCTTGATAATAATAATAATATCTTGTCCATATGTTCCTCTATCCCTCCTTTGTGTCCTCCCCTTGCTCCCATTTCCTCTCTCCTCGACTTGTTACCTACCGTTCCAATCTGTTTTCCTTCCTCTCTCCTCTACCTGGCCTCATTTTCTTTCCTCTCGTTGTCTCCTATTCTCTCCATGTTTTCTTTCCGCTCTCCTCTTATTGTTTCCTTTCCTTACCTCACATCTTGTCTCCTTTACTGTCTCCTCTTCTTGTCTCCTTTCCTCTGCCCTGTTTCCTTGCCTGTTTTCTGTCCTCTCCTTGTTCTTTTTCTTTCCTTGTTTTCTTTCCTCTGTCCTTTTATTGTTTCCTTTTATTACCTCACATCTTGTCTCCTTTCCTCTCTCCTCTTCTTGTCTCCTTTCCTCTCTCCTCTTCTTGTCTCCTGTCTTCTTTTCTCTCCTTGTGTCCTTTCCTCTGTCCTCTTCCAGGATAACTTTGGATTTGACCTCCAGGCCGTAGAAGCTGCTACTAAGAAACATGAAGCCATAGAAACGGACATTGCGGCCTACGAGGAGCGAGTTGAGGTCAGTTCATCACAGCTTCAGATGCAGAATTAGATTGAAATAAGCCCAGAAGTAGTCATTATTATAACCGTTATTATTGTTTAACTCTTTAGGTAGTCTTTTTCAAAACATTGCAGGTTGGAACAAATAGTAATTAATACTTTTTTACATTTTAATCAGGTAGTTCTATGAGAGCGGTTTTATCTCAGTGACATAAATTATGTCTTACTTTTATAGGTTTTTAGAATGAAAACTTTGAATATTACTTATATTTTGTCTATGAAAGGGTTCATGTTTGTGGTTTTTATAAATAAAATGTCTCTCCGACGTGTTTTGTAGGAACCCAAAACAAGGTAAGAGCTGTCTTTTGTTGTCCATTCATCCCGCCCTCTCTCTGGTGCAGGCGGTGGTCTCCGTGGCGAGGGAGATGGAGTCGGAGAATTACCACGACATCAAACGCATCACGGCCAGGAAGGACAACGTGATCCGGCTGTGGGAGTACCTGCTGGAGCTGCTGAAGGCCCGCAGGCAGAGACTGGAGCTGACCCTGGGCCTGCAGAGAGTCTTCCAGGAGATGCTCTACATCATGGACTGGATGGACGAGATGAAGGTATGGCGGCGGGGGGGCCGTTTGTTATATGCAGCTAAAGTTCTTGTTCTTCTGTCGGGGTTAAGACAACATTTAAACACTTCCGCATTTAAGAAGTTAGAAGATAACATTTCAGACATCACCAGAGCAGATCAAATCCTGAACCTTGAACTGTAGTATGTTTGATTATCTCTCAGAAAAATAATTCCTTGGTCGGTTGAGGTGAACTGAGAACTATTTTAATTGACAAAATAATACTTAATTCTGAATCAGTGCGCTACTAATTTATTGGTATTAAAGTCCTGCATGTTTGAATCATTGGAGGATGTTTTGATGCCGGCCTCTCGCTCCCTGCAGATGATGCTGCTCTCTCAGGATTATGGGAAACACCTGCTGGGTGTGGAGGACCTGCTGCAGAAACACGCTCTGGTGGAGGCCGACATCAGCATCCAGGCCGACCGCGTCCGAACCGTCAACCGCAACGCTCAGAAGTTTGCCGATGACATGGAGGGTGAGACAGACAGACGGATGAATACAAGACATTTTAGATTTATTATCACTCTATTTTGCTCTTAGTTGTTGTTCTTTCAGAGAGAAACAGATGAGCATGATGCTGATATTTCCTCTCCCCGTCCTCAGGTTATAAGCCCTGTGATCCTCAGATCATCAGGGATCGGGTCGCTCACATGGATTTCTGCTACCAGGAGCTGAGTCAGCTGGCGGCTGAGCGGCGAGCTCGCCTCGAGGAGTCCCGCCGCCTCTGGAAGTTCTTCTGGGAAATGGCCGAAGAGGTTTTTATTATTACTCTTATTATAATTATTGAAAGTTCTCAGCAGCTAAATGAAAGATGTCGGTGTCGGTTTGTTTTTAGTCTCTTTTTTGGGCTTTCAGACACTTCTGAAACTGCCTTTACGTTTTGCTGCCTCCCTTTGTTTTACTTCACTCTGTGCTATAGTGCTGAACCAAAATGGCCGCATGTTGTGGTGTAACTAAGAAGCTTTAACCACAGCACAGTCGGCTTCATCAGAATTTGAAACCCGAGTTTGCTCTGAGGCGACGTGGCTGAGGCCTGAATGTGTCCATGGTCTGTAGGAGGGCTGGATCAGGGAGAAGGAGCAGATCTTGTCCTCCGAGGATTATGGGAAAGATCTGACAGGAGCGGTGCGATTGCTGAGTCAGCACAAAGCCTTCGAGGACGAGATGAGCGGGCGAGCCGCCCACCTGCAGCAGACCATCAAACAGGGCGAGGAGCTGGTGGCCAACGACCACTTTGGAGCCGACAAGATCAAAGAGCGCATCCAGGACATCCAGGTACGCTGCACCGGAGTTTCTACTCTCAGAGGAAACTTTAATTCTGTTTTTATTCTTCATGTGAGCAGAAAGATGCCTTAAAAAGACTCGGAGTGTCTCGATATTTAATCTAAAGCTTAAAAAGCTATTTACTGCCTTTGATTAAGTCTTTAGAGGTCTTTAGATTTAAATGACTACAAGTAGGCTAGTTGTACAAAAATCATATACTTCACCATCAACTTTGTTTTAAAGAGATTTGATTTATTGGATTCAATGGAAATAAAGTGAATAAAAGTCCTTCTTTACACACAACCATTGCATCCCTTCCTAACACCTTCCCTCCTTCATTTCCTTCCTCCTCCTCCCTCTGTAGGAGCAGTGGGCGGCTCTGGAGCGTCTCTCTGCCGTCCGTAAAGCTCGTCTGCAGGAAGCCTGCAACCAGCACCAGTTCCAGGTAAAAACACTTTTCGCAGCGCGTATTTTCGTAGCTTCTCGCAGGAATTTTGATTGGATTTGAACGAACACAAATTTGCTTATCATTTGCTGTTTCAGTGTGTCTGCCACCTTATACTATTCAGTTATTTCTAGTTATCTAGCAGCCGGAAAGACGGTAATGTTTATGGCTGTTTCCTTAAAAATATGAACTATATTTTCAAATCTTGAAATCGTTGGTAAAAGGAAACAAAACACATTTATTCATTTCCTGCTCAGGCAACAAAAACAAATCCAGATAAGAAAATCATTATTCTGTTCTGCAGGATACATTGTGACAGCTGGAAAAGTACTTGAAAAAATGGAAAATATTGTTTTTGGTTATATTAAACTTTTGGCTTCCTCCCTGCAGGCCGATGCCGACGACATCGACACGTGGATGCTGGACGTGCTGCGGATCGTCTCCAGCGTGGACGTCGGCCACGACGAGTTCTCCACTCAGGCTCTGGTGAAGAAACACAAGGACGTGGCCGAGGAGATCGGCAGCTACCGGCCCGCCATCGAGGCTCTGCATGAACAGTCGCGCACGCTCCCGCCCGAGAAGGCCAACTCTGAGGAGGTGAAGCTCTGACAGACACGGCAAACACAACACTGACCTCTGGAGAGTCTAAAAATAACAGCAGGGAAGAGATTCTCTTCAATCACTGATGGTGTGGGTGTGTTTTGCAGGTTCAGAGCCGGCTGGCGGGCATCGAGGAGCGTTATAAGGAGGTGGTGGAGCTGACGCGGCTCCGGACGCAGGCGCTGCAGGACGCTCTGGTTCTCTACAAGATGCTGAGTGAAGCGAACGCCTGCGAGGTGTGGATCGACGAGAAGGAGCAGTGGCTCAACAGCATGGACATCCCCGAGAAACTGGAGGATCTGGAGGTTGTCCAGCACCGGTGAGGCTCACGATGCAGAGTTTTGTATTTGTTAAGCAACATTTGTGAACCAGGGAGTTTGCATCCTTTAAAAAAAACGGCGTTTTGTCTATAAAATGTCAGAAAATAGTGAAAACCGTCCATCACAATGTGATGAAGCTCAATCAATCAGTGCTTATCAATCATAAGCACCACCGCCGAACGTTTTCAAACTGTCCCTTCTACCTGAGAGGAAAAAATCAACCTGATCACTGGTGGTGGATTCAGTGAATTATTAGAAGGAACGTAAAACAAATTATTAGTTTTTCTTAAATCCAGTTTGAGCTGGTTGTTGTTTAGATGCTGCAGCAGAGAGAAGACGGTCACAGAGAGACTGTGGGAACCAGCTCTGTGCGTGCGTGTGTGTGTGGGTGGGTGTATTTCAGACTGTGGTTACACAGTTCGTTCACAGAAGCCTCTGAATCTGGTTTTCAGCCACTTGTCTCTCAATACTGTTTGACCACAAAGCGTCACATGGATTCTTTCCCAGACGCTGTGTGTGTGGTTGTGTGTGTGCGTGTGTGTGTGTGTGTGTGTGTGTGTGTGTGTGTGTGTGTGTGAGAGTGACTGACTGACTGAACAGCAGCAGCTTTCAGCTGAAAACGCTTCACTTCTTACCTCACAGTTTTTTTCCTTTCAATAGCGTCATGAAACCTGTTGAACATTGTTTTAAACATTTATAAAGATGTTTGCTTCTTAACCAGAGCTCAACGATGCACCGACGCTGCAGATTTGATCAGATCATTTTAGTTTAATACAAACCAGTAACGGGCGATGTCGGGAGAGAAATTCATGATGAATTAAAATCAAACCCTTTTAAATTTGCCACTCAGCTCATTACGTGTAACTCACAGGTTCGAGAGTCTGGAGCCGGAGATGAACAACCAGGCGTCCCGAGTTGCCGTGGTGAACCAGGTCGCTAGGCAACTGATCCACTGCGGACATCCTAGTGAGACGGAGATCAAGAGCCAGCAGGACAAACTCAACACCAGGTAATCTCACCGGGATTAAACCAGCTCGTACTCCGGGATTAGCAGATCCTCAACCGATACTTGAGATGATACCGGTAAATAAACCGGAATTAAAGGGAAAAGTAAACAATGATTGAAGTTGGGTAAAATGGGAAACTAGACTAAGAAGGGATTACCTTTAAATGAACATGTTGTTTAGCACCGACTAACTTAAACGTACTGTAATAAAGTGAGATTTGGGTCGTTTAGATAAAGTAATCAAACCTGGCGGGTGCCTGGTGTTTTGTGTTGCTGATGGTGTCTCCGTCCGTCCGTCCGTCCGTCCAGGTGGAGTCAGTTCAGAGATCTGGTGGACCAGAAGAAAGACAGTCTGAGCTCAGCTCTGGGAGTCCAGAACTACCACCTGGAGTGTAACGAGACCAAGTCCTGGATCAAAGAGAAGACCAAGGTACCAACAGAACACAAACAGTCTGCTGTCATCGAGCCAATAAATATACTAGAAAACACGTCGTCACAGATTGCAGCAATGTGCGTCAAAAATCACTCTTTCTCAGTCATGACTCTCGAGCTCACATACATGATCCACATATTTTTGGATTCAGTGTGATTTACACTTTCAGATGATATGTCATCTCCAATGATGATAGCAGTGACAAAATCCCTCACTATCTACTGTTTTGTGTTGCACTATTAACATTTGTTTCGGCTCAGAATGTCCCCTTCAGCATGGCTCTTAAAAATACTTTTATCTCCTGTAATTAAACTCTTGACTAACTCACCCCCTCCCTCCGTCCCTGTCCTCCTGCAGGTGATCGAGTCGACCCAGGAGCTTGGGAACGACCTGGCCGGCGTCATGGCTCTGCAGAGGAAGCTGACGGGGATGGAGCGCGACCTGGCCGCCATCGAAGACAAGCTGGGCGACCTGGGGAAAGAGGCGGACCGCTTGGCCTCTGAGCACCCGGAGCAGTCCGAGGCCATCAAGGGACGTCTGGACGGGATCACCGGCGTCTGGGACGAGATGAAGGTAGGAGAGTACCTGTCACAGAATACGATCAGGTGCACCAGAAATCTGTTTTAAGTCGCTTCTCTCTGAATATCACACCCCCTTTCTGTTTCCAGGACACCATGAAGAACCGGGAGGAGTCCCTGGGCGAGGCCAGCAAGCTGCAGAAGTTCCTGCGCGACCTGGACGACTTCCAGTCGTGGCTGTCGCGGACGCAGACGGCCATCGCCTCCGAGGACATGCCCAACACGCTGGTCGAGGCCGAGAAGCTGCTGACCCAGCACGAAAACATCAAGAATGAAATCCGCAACTACGAGGAGGACTACCAGAAGATGCGGGACATGGGCGAGATGGTGACGCAGGGCCAGACGGACGCGCAGTACATGTTCCTGCGGCAGCGGCTGCAGGCGCTCGACACCGGCTGGAACGAGCTGCACAAGATGTGGGAGAACCGGCAGAACCTGCTGTCCCAGTCCCACGCTTACCAGCTGTTCCTCAGGGACACCAAGCAGGCCGAGGCCTTCCTCAACAACCAGGTAAACCCGTGATGTCATCACAAGGGCTTTACATCATGTGATCTGACCACAGAGTGAACTGTTCTCTCATTTGTGTTAATACTGACAAATGCACACACACACACACACTGTGATTAGCAGATAAATATCTGACTGGGCGTCCGTCCAGTCCAGCCTCATGTGTGTTGGACCAGATCTCTCTCTCTCTCTCACTCACTCACTCACACACACACACACACACACACACACACACACAGTACATGCTGGTATTGGCGCCAACCTCACCTGACCCTGTACAGGATTAGCGATTAAAGAAATGGATTGAAGTAGAGCTGCAACAATTAGTTGATTAATTGACAAACTGAGAATTAATCGCGAAGGATTTCCTGCTTTTCTTTCTAACGTAATTAATAACTGGATATCTTTGTGATTGAACTGTTTGTCGGACAAAACATGACATTTAAAGTCAGTGGACATTTTTCACATGACTTTCTGTCCCTTTCCTCTTGTCCTTTCGTCCACCTGGACCTGACTTCTCACTTGAAGGTCCGAGGCTGCCACCAAGTGGTGGAAGTCCTTCATTACAGCAACATGTTCGGACGGTTTAAATTACTTTCTGCATGTTTATAAAACGTTTACTGATTAACAGGACACATATTCCAAAGAAAGATACCTTACAAATTACAGAAAAGATATTTCTAGAGATGAAAAACCCAAATATTTTGTTAGGACGTTGTGACTGTCATCATTTCACCAAGTGAAACAAGAGGAGCTTCATCATTACACATTCTTATCTCCTCTTGTACTGTCCGTCTTCTACTTTCTAATGTTCCTACCTGTTTACATCTCTAGAGAGAGAGAGAACTTGGAAAAGAGTCCTGTATATCAGTAAAAGGACTCTTATTGTAGAAATTAATTTAATTTAATCATACATGTTGCTGTAGTGACAAACTTCTTCCACTTGATGGCAGCCTCTGACCTTCTTAAAGAGAAAAGTTAGAGAAGAAGTAATATGTCCACTGGGACTTTAAATGTCATGTTTTGTCTGAACAACACTTGGGACGCAAAGATATTCTTATATATATTTCTAACTTTTGCATGTTTATAAGTGTATCACTTTGATTCTCATGCATCTACATGTTGTAGTAACGTTGTTCATAGAGGAGTTTCTGGTCTCTGTGTGTTCGTGTCTCAGGAGTACGTGCTGGCTCACACCGAGATGCCCACCACTCTGGAGGGGGCCGAGGCCGCCATCAAGAAGCAGGAGGACTTCATGACCACCCTGGACGCCAACGACGAGAAGATCAGCGGCGTGGTCGACACCGGACGCCGCTTGGTAACTGACGGCAACATCAACGCGGAGCGCACCCAGGAGAAGGTGGACTCCATCGACCAGAGGTGACCGAGATTCTGTTCGTCTGTCTGCGGGATTTCAAGCTTTTTCTTCATTTCATGACATTGACTATTATGCTGTTGTGTTTTTTACCTCTTTTACTAATAACCCTTAATTACCTTCCGTTGAGCAAGTCCTTTCAACCCTGCCTGCAGCACACTGGTGACCAGGCTTAAAAAGTAGCTTTTATATCTGGAAGTATAAAAATGTTCTAAACTTACAGTTGAAACTGTGTGTAGGTAGGTGCAGAACAACTTGTATACATTATAAAAATATTGATTGTTGTCTTACAGACACAAGAAGAACCGAGCGGCTGCCAGCGACCTGCTGTCGCGGCTGAAGGACAACAGAGACCTGCAGAAGTTCCTGCAGGACTGCCAGGAGGTAAAACTACAGACACTTGTATATTAAATCAGTGCAGAAAACCTGCAGTGACTCAGAGAGTGCCCGAGATAATGTGCCGTCTGTGTGTCTTCAGCTGTCCCTGTGGATCAATGAGAAGATGCTGACGGCTCAGGACATGTCGTACGATGAGGCCAGGAACCTCCACAGCAAGTGGCTCAAACACCAGGCCTTCATGGCCGAGCTGCAGTCCAACAAGGAGTGGCTGGACAAGATCGACAAGGTGGGAGGGGGAGGAGGCGAGGGAAAGATGGAGGGGGCAGGGAACACAGACATGTCCCTCGGCTTATTTAGGGTCAATAACGGCCCTGGCTGAACAGCTTCTAACCAAAGACGTCATTTGACATGAGCCATTGATTTTAAATGAGTTGATTACATTATGAATATGATGTACGTTGACCGTCTTCCTTCAAACAACACAGTCCAGCAGAACCGTCTGCAGTGACATTTATTGTAGCTGTTCAATCTCAATAAATCCCGTAAATTTCCACTTGAGCTTCCTCAATATTTGGAAACTTTGAGACCTTCCCTTAAATTTGAAATAAGGTTTAGTGTTTTTGATCAAAGCTCGTCCTCACAGCACGAGTCTCTACTGATGGACCTGCTAAACACTCGATGCTTCCTTTAGCTAATGAAAGCTGAGTTTTAAAAACCAGCGCTGTCTTTCAGGACGGGCAGGCGCTGATGGCAGAGAAGCCGGAGACGGAGGCCATGGTGAAAGAGAAGCTGGCGTCCCTGAAGACTATGTGGGAGGACCTCGAGTCGACCACCCAGACGAAAGCCAAGTGTCTGTTTGACGCCAACAAGGCGGAGCTGTTCACCCAGAGCTGCGCCAACCTCGACAAGTGGCTAGGCGGCCTGGACGGGCAGCTGCAGTCTGACGACTACGGCAAGGACCTCACCTCCGTCAACATCCTGCTGAAGAAACAGCAGGTGAGGAGCACGTTCACCTGATCGCTACACTTCTTCAGATCTTTACAGGAGTTTTGCATTAACATGAAGACTGACAAAGCAGATGGCGATGATGTTTTTGCTCCATCGGTTGTCTTTCTAGTTTCTAATGCTCAGAAGCTCTTCCTGTGTCAGTTTGACTAAACGTCCTGTAAAGCCTCTCAGTTTGACAGCAGAGTTTCTCTTCCACTTAACCCCTTTTATACCAGTAAAAAAAAGTTTCACAGATAAAACACTAGACACTGATTATCATGAATACAATACAGCCAGGCCCTTACTGTATGTACAGTGAGTAATGTATGTAAAATACTTCTAAAGCTGAAGATGATTTGTGTAACTTAAACAGATGGAGCCTCAGTGGTGGAAGAAGAAGTCGGAGCATGCTAACACGCTAAATGAAGATGGTGATCATTATAGATGCTGAACATCAACATGTCAGCATGCTGGTGTCAGTACAGACTCACAAAGCAGTTAGCAGGACTGCAGAATCTTAAGTCTTCTGCTCAGAGTTCAGCCTGTCAGTCAGTCTGTTCTCCTCTTTAAGCTTCAGAGATCACATAACTTGTCTGATGTGTACGTTAAGACCCTGAGAGTTGATTTAATTCAACCTATGCACATAAGTGTGCTTCTAAATTGAATTATTTAATATTGAAACAGACAGTGATTGATGATATCTGAATGCATTCCTGCACTTTGTCTTATTTTTGTGGAATTATTTTTGCAAAAATAAGCCAAATTGTGAAATTAATCATTTTTGTTCATTTTTGTGATCCAAAGCTCTTAAATTCCTGAAGGGAAGCTCTTCAGGAGTTTCTCAATTTTTACAGTGATGAGAGGAGAGTGAGTCTTACCCCCCCTTTACATAATCCATCCACTGGTGCACACACACACTTTCATATCCACAAAGTCTTAGCTGTGCACACACACACACACACTACACTCCACTCCACTACACTCACACAGCAGTTATGTAAGCTCTCTCATTTGATGTGTTACAAGCCCACACTGAGCCTGAGAAATGTGGTGTGTGTGTGTGTGTGTGTGTGTGTGTCCACCAGTAACCGAGACAGAACTGAGAGAGTGTGAATCGGTCTGAAGGATGATGTTGGTATTTTCAGTCTATTAGAGCAGCTTTACTTCTCTTATCATCCGTCTTCTCTTGAGATCTGTGCTGTAATTTCTTTTGAGAGAGTGTGTGTGTGTGTGTGTGCGCATGCATGTGTGTGTTAGAGAGAGATCAGTAGCGGAGTGTTTGATCTGTTGTACGGTGAAACAGAGGAGAGACAGGATTCCTCTCCTCCTCCTCGGCTTCCTCTCTGCTCTCATTTTATCCCAAACTCCACCTGTTTTTTCTTTTTGTTGTTTCAGACTGTTGGTACACTATCTGGCTGCTGGAAGATGATCCTCACTTTGATTTCTATTTCCGTATCAGTGAAATGTTTTTGAGTCCGTTTTTGGAGGTTAACACAGATTTGTACTGAATCGAGGAGAAGATGAGACGAGGCTTCTGAAGCATCTTTTATCTTTGTAAAATGTTTTTCAAATGTATTTTAATTTCATAGAGATTTTTTTTTTTTTCATTTCATTGTTTCATTATTGTTATTATAATTAGATATCATTTTGTATATCTGAGGACATTTTATCTCCATTTTCTCCTACTTTGACTAATTTGCTGAAGCTAAATCTTAACTCGATGTCCACTCGCTAGCTTTTCCTGGAGCTGTCGGCTCCATATCACGGAGTTTGCTCAGCCGATATCTGACAAAAGAGCAAACCGTTGTCAACTGAGGAAGACTGTGAGTCATGGTTGAAAGCTGTGGAAATAGCTAGTTAATGGACTTTGAGTTAAGATGTAAATGTCACATTTCTGTGTTTTTACAAACATATTGCGTCTCCCCGTCTGACCTGTAAACCGTCCTCCTGCAGATCCTGGAGAGCCAGGTGGAGGTGCGTCAGAAGGAGGTGGGGGAGCTGCAGAGCCAGTCGCAGGCCCTCAGTCAGGAGGGGAAAGGCTCCGAGGAGGTGGACGGCCAGAGGATCAGCGTGGAGAAGAAGTTCCAGTGCCTCCAGGACCCACTGAAGAAGAGACGAGACATTCTCATGGCCTCCCGCGAGATCCACCAGTTCAACCGGGACGTGGAGGACGAGATCGTAAGTAGAGGAAGAGTGGAGGTAGAGCGCTGACCTTTAACCTCTGGTACAGGAAGTGAGGTGTGTTTTACTGCTGAGTGGGGATCTTATCTTCGTCATGGCTTTGATTTACACAAAAATGAAACTGGTACAAGATGTGTTGGGGGAAGTAGTGCTGTTATGTAGCAGCAGCAGAAATAATAGTGGTAGCAGCAGTATTAGCACCATCATTTGTATCATTAGGGGTGGTAGTATTAGTAGCAGTATTAAGAGTATTTGTAGGAGGAGCACGGGCAGCATTGGCAGCAGCAATATTGGTATTACTAGTAGTAGTGGGAATAAGTAATGGGAGTGGTAGTAGTACTGGTGGTAGCAGTTAAAGTTGTACTGCAGCAACAATTACCACAGAGTTAGTATCACGAGTATCGGTAGAAATACTACAACTTGCTGTAGTAGTATTTGTAGTAGTAGCAATAAAGTGAACTTCCTTCTCATCTCCAGCTGTGGGTTGAGGAGAGGATGCCTCTGGCCACATCGACCGACCACGGAAACAACCTGCAGACTGTACAGCTGCTCATCAAGAAGAACCAGGTACACAAACGAGCAGCTTCACCTGCTTGTATGGCAGTAAATAACCACTATAAAGTACATGTTGAAACTATAACCATTAACTTGGCGTTTGACCCTCTCAGACCCTGCAGAAGGAGATCCAGGGCCATCAGCCGCGCTACGACGACATCTTCGAGCGCAGCCAGCACGTCCTGAGGGAGAACAGCCCGACGGCCGAGCTGATTCGCCAGCGCCTCGCCGAGCTGCAGTCGCTGTGGGAGCAGATCAGGAAGGAGACGGAGAAGCGTCACACCCGCCTCAGCGAGGCCCACGAGGCCCAGCAGTACTACTTTGACGCCGCCGAGGCCGAGGCCTGGATGAGCGAACAGGAGCTCTACATGATGTCAGAGGAAAAGGCCAAGGTGGGGCAAAGGATATTATTCATTCGTTTTTCTATCTTGAGCAAGATAATAATTGTAACCCACAAGTTACTGTCTTGAAAAGAAAAGAAATAAGAAAAACCTGAGAAAATAAATCTGAAATGTCCCTAAACAGCCTCCGTACAAAGGATTAACCCTTAATATTAACTGTAGGTAACAACCTGACCTTAACTCTGACAGATTAGTGTTCATGACATCACAGCCTCACTTGCATGACTCCATTGAAGTCGTATCGTTATCTGTTTAGAGCTGATGAGGTTTGGGTTAAACTCACACAGATACAAAGTAGTATTTAACTCACACCTCACATTGTTGTTTTCAGGCTCTCTGCTCTGTGGCTCAAAAACTTCCTGTTTCTTTGTTTTAGTTTTGGTTCAGTTCCTCAGTTTGTTCATTTTCTATTAGTTTGGTTAGTTGCTGTTGGTGTCGGACTACTAAGAACAAAATAACGAGATGAATCTCTGTGTCTCTCAGGATGAGCAGAGTTCGGTGGCCATGCTGAAGAAGCACCAGATCCTGGAGCAGGCGGTGGAGGATTACGCCGACACCGTCCACCAGCTGTCCGGCACCAGCCGGGGCCTGGTGGCCGCCGAGCACCCCGACAGGTGAGGGCGGGGGGTCAAAGGTCAAGGATCCAGGTTTAGTTTTATCTTCAAGCAGAAAGCTTTTTACATTTTGAAAATGTTGCAGCCAAGAGACAAATAAATGAATGCTTAAAATGAAAGTAGAAAATAAGGACACGGGAAGGAGACAAGGAATGAAAGAGTGAAGAGAGATATATAGATTAAGGAAAGAAGGTCAAAGGAAGGAAACAAGAAGGAACAAAGGGAGATTGAAGAGAGGAAGAAGAAAGATGGTAATAAACCATAATAACTGATTTTCTGTCCTCCTCCTTCGTCGTGCAGCGAGCGAATCGGCATGCGTCAGTCTCAGGTGGACAAGCTGTACGCCGGGCTGAAGGACTTGTCGGAGGAGCGTCGGGGGAAGCTGGACGAGCGCCTGCGGCTCTTCCAGCTGAACCGGGAGGTGGACGACCTGGAGCAGTGGATCGCTGAGAGGGAGGTGGTGGCCGGATCCCACGAGCTGGGACAGGACTACGAGCACGTCACCGTAAGCACAACACATATGTCATTACGCTCTCATGATTAGTGTTGGGGATTATTTAAACACTGAAAGTTGGTTTCCCAGTAATTTACTTTGGAGGATGTATTGGGTAACAAAGAGTTAAATCAACTTAATTTAGGAATATGAAACTGCTAGCATTGCTGCCTTTGATTTATATTTTCAGTCATTGAGGAACCGTTTCTCCGTTACAGTTTGTCAGTTTGTCGAACGTTTCATTGAGTTTCATAATGTTTCTTGGAATTATTTGAAATTTGTACTTTAAGGAATCCTCGTCAAAATAGTTTCTGTTTATGTCAAAAGGTAATATTGGCTATTACGTTGTTTTCAGATTTAAACTCTCAAATATTGATAATGGTATTGACTCAAAACCAATTTTCTTGATGGAATCCAAACATTAAATCTGCTGTTAATGCTCTTTCACTAACCAGCGTAGACAGGATGTTATATTTTCAGTACTCTGGTACTTCAGTGTTCTTTGTAATTAATCCTAACTTTCTTTCTTCTTCAGATGCTGCAGGAGCGTTTCAGAGAATTTGCCCGCGACACCGGGAACATCGGCCAGGAGCGCGTGGACACCGTGAACCGGCAGGCGGACGAGCTGATCAACACCGGCCACGGCGACGCTGCCACCATCGCGGAGTGGAAGGACGGCCTGAACGAGGCCTGGGCCGACCTGCTGGAGCTCATCGACACCCGGACGCAGATCCTCGCCGCCTCCTTCGAACTCCACAAGTTCTACCACGACGCCAAGGAGATCCTCAACCGCATCCTGGACAAACACAAGAAGCTGCCGGAGGAGCTGGGCCGCGACCAGAACACAGTGGAGACCCTGCAGAGGATGCACACCACCTTCGAACACGACATCCAGGCACTGGGAACACAGGTACAGGAGCTATATTTAAGACGTGGAAAACCTGGGACACATTCATAGCTGCTCAGCAGTGGAGTATTCTTGTGTGATTTTGGTCTGGGGGCTGCTTTTCAAGGTTTTCCCATTTTGTTCCAATAACGTGAATCTTACACATTTTCCCAGTTTGATGTAGAAGAAACTCTCAATTACAAATTAAAGATATTTTTGAGCCAGTACTTCATTGGAATAGGTGTGTGTTTTCCCCTAGATTTTAGGAAAATCTCAACTAAACATAACGTGAGAAGTGAACAGCTTTTTAAGGCTGGATGATGTGAAAATTGTACCTTAAAATACTACTTCATGGGATGTTCTCAGCATGGACTTCACAGCTTGTGACACTGAAGCTCTCACGTGATCCACATGCTTATGTTACTGATGTTTAAATTGTTCCGTGTGTTCTCAACCAACCTGAACCTCCTCATCCTCCTCTTTGCTTTCAGGTGCGGCAGCTTCAGGAGGACGCCGTTCGTCTGCAGTCCGCTTACGCTGGAGATAAAGCCGACGACATTCAGAAGAGAGAAGGAGAGGTGAGCTTCAGTCTCAGGCAGCAGTGAAGCAGAAACCGCATCAGGACTCGGTTCACTTTGAATTCACTTCAGTAAATCTAAATCTCGGATGCAAAAACGTTTTTGATTTATTTATCTATAGCTTACATTTAAACATAGTAGAAAAACCAGCTTCTCTTACTGATTGACTTGAAAGTGAACTGGACCCTGCACTCATGGTAATGAAGTGACAGTAAAAGGCTCTGTTCCTCATGCATGCTGCACTGCTGCTGCACTAACTTTGCACTGTTCCTCCGCCCTGAAATGATCCGTTTGGAAAATGCAGAACTATAATTTATAGATGGAGTTAAATTCCCTGAGAGAAGAATCTGGAATAAGATGAACAAAAAGCTTGTGTGAGGTTGATTAAAGAGGACAAAACATGCAGCACTGTTCTTCAGATCGTCAAAAGTGATTTTATTCACGATCTTACTACAATCAGTGGATTATAGACGCATAATGAAGTCTTACAGGGCGTGGTCAAAATACAGGAAACACCATGATGTCTCCTTCTTAATGGTTCTCTACACAGAGGGAACATTAGTGGTTTTATGCAGTTGAAAGGTGATTTTTCTCTGAATCTTTAAAGTTTTATGATAAGTAAGTATACAGAGTAAATATTGTGACGGATGAGATTGTAAAACTGCTGAGCCGGTCTGAATGTGTTTTTATCTTTGACCTTTTCGTACGTTGTTTAAAGGTGAATCTTCCAGCATACTTTGGAGAAGTTTGTCTTCCCCGGAGTCTGATGAGAAATTGGGAAATTCAGATATCACCCAGGATATAATTAGCCTAGCTTAGCACAAAGACAGAAAACTGGTAGGAAACAGCTAGCCTAGCTCCATTCAAAGTGTTTGAATCAGATAAACTCTTCTGCATCATCGAAATATGTTCCGTGGGAAAAGTAATGCGAAGCAGTTGCACTGTTATTTAATTCAAAAGCTCGTTCTTCTGGACAAAGTCTTCCTAGAGACTGTAAAGCTGGATTTATGTCAGGAAAAACCAAAGCGGCCGGTCTAGTGGTCGGTTGTTTCGGTGATGCTAAAGCAGCTTTGCTGCAGTACTATATTATTTTCATATTATTTTAGTACGTGGCCATCGTATTTCCTTAAGTAGTGTAAATCCAGCTCAACCTGTCGGCTGAGTTTTATTGATAACCGAGTTACCTCAGTGTGTGAAACATGCAGCCCTGCTACAATATGACAACAGCACAGTTAATGTAACTAAATGTAATGTTCTCAAACCAAACATCTGTCTTTATTCCATGCGTTTCTTTTATAAATATGTCTGCTACAAGCGTCTTCGTCCAAAGCTCATGGGATTTTGCAAACTCATCATAAAATCTACATTTGAAATGGGCATTTTTAGAAAATATTGGTGAACAATATTAAACTAAGATTCAAGTGGAATTTCACTTCAGTACCACAATGACGTGTCGAAGCTCCTGAGTGTTTTTGATGGCGTTGTGTTTTGACCGTTCCCTGTATGTCCATTTCCCTGCATATCCTCCCTGTCCACCCAGAAGAGAAAGGGAGAGGTGAGACTCCGTTTACCAAAAACATTGGCTTTGCATCAGTGTTCATTTTGGCTGCAGTTCTAGACTTTCTTTTAATATTTCGACTAAAATGTCGATTAATTTTAGTGACATTTGTCGTTTTGATGCAGTTTAGTTCCGGCCCAGTCTTTGTCACAGACCTGGTGATTTTCAAACACTCGTACGGTTTGTTTTAGGTCTTTCTTAGATTCCTGTGTGGGTGGATTTTTTGCACAGAAGTCAACACAACCTCTTTTTTTATTGACAACTTACCTGATACTGAATGAGTACCATCCAGCTGTAAACTCCACCCACCTGTGTCTCTGAGGAGGTTAAAACAAACACTACTAGTAGTTTGCAAATACGGTTTGGTTCTGGTTAGTCAGTGAATGTGAAAATAGAGACCGTAAGCATCTAGCTTGTCTCAAAATAATTTTAAGATGCATTTTTTATATTTCATGGCTGCACGCATTGGTGCAATCAAATGTTTTTGTTCGCATTTGCTTAAATATAGTTGCTTATTAGCCGGCAAAATGCCGCTTTTAGTCCTCTGCAGCTGCGTTTCTCAGTGTCGGATGGGTCTGTGGCTGAAGAGATTCTGTACAGATCTACTGTTCAGTCTGAAGATTATATTTTTTGTACGCAATCAGCAAGGTTGACAACAAATGTAGATTTTCGTTCTGCAGACATTTGCAACCAAAACAAAGTATCAGTCTCACTTTCAAACAGGAAGTTTTGCCTCGTGACGCTCACACACTTTGACTTGTGTTTGACCGCTAGTGGCTGTTGAATGATGTTTATTTCTTCTGTGTTGTTATGTAATGTCTAGTAGCTGGCTAACCGTAGTGTCTGTGAACAATCTCCACTGTCTGGTTGTCATCCTCATTTAGCTACTAGAAGCTAGCATTAGCATGCTAACAACAATAATATGGATAGTGTTTAGCTTGCTAGTTAGCACAGGTTAATAGTCTGACTCTTTGTCAAGCTTGCACTAAAATCTACTGTTCACCTTGACTGAGAACATAACTGCGAGCAGATGTGATCTATACATGGACAGCAAGCTGCTTCAGCTCACGGGTCAGCCATTACTCAAAAAACACATCGCCTCTTATTGCTCAACGGGTCAAAGTCCCGCTGCATCCAAATCTGCAAAAAAGTGCTTGTGCAAACATATTTGATTTATGTCCACTAAATAATCCTGGAATAGCTCACGACCCTGTTAATTTTCAGTGCTTTGTTGGAAGATCTAAATTAAAGTATCCATGTAGTGCCAACTGATTATGGAGAGCTCACTGAGCACTGAGCAGGTGGAGATGCAAGCAAACATAATCCACTGAAAACATAGAGGCAGGGATTGGCTCTGAGGATAAGGTCCTCTATCACGGTATGTTTAACTCCATGTTACGAGGAGAAATTGTTAAAAAATGGCTGTTTTTTGCCCTGCTTACTGATGTGCAACATTGCCGACAATGACCCAATACATCCAGAGATACTCAGAGGAGAACCGTATTGCCACGTTGACTCTGCAGTCTGCACATATGAATGCATTGTTTTGCTTTAATGCTATTTATTTATTTCCCCGGGCTGTTGTGCTCCCCTGCAGCTCCCTGGTGATGGTGCTGGACATGTGCGAGACTCTGCGACAGTTTGCACTAGTAGTAATAGTGTTTGCAGTTTATATACACAGAACCCAGTAATGAATTGGGTTTATGATAAATAGTGATTCCCCCACTGATAGTGAAGCTGATCAGAGTGAACCTCTTCTCTAAAACACATGATTCTCAGATGTCCTTCATAATGGAGGCAGTGTTTCTTTTAGGAAAGTTAAAACAGATCATGTGTGTTAGAGGATCCCAGCCTCTGGGCTCTCTGGTCTGAACTCTGCCGTGTTTCATGTCGCCCCCCCCCCTCAGGTCCTTGAGGCCTGGAAGAACCTTCTGGAGGCGGCGGAGGGCCGTCGGGTGAAGCTGGTGGAAACTGGAGACAAGTTCCGCTTCGTCAGCATGGTGCGCGACCTGATGCTGTGGATGGAGGACGTCATCCGCCTGATTGAGGCCCAGGAAAGGCCCAGGTAAGAACACCAGCTTACCGCTGAGGAGTCGGCGTTCAGTGTCCTCTGTTCATCTTCAGTATTTCACTTTCCATTTCACTTCTGATGGAAATGATCTCTGGTTTCCAGGGACGTGTCGTCGGTGGAGCTGCTGATGAACAACCACCAGGGCATCAAGGCGGAGATCGACGCCCGCAACGACAGCTTCACAGCCTGCATCGAGCTGGGCAAAGCCCTGCTGGCCAGGAAGCACTACGCTTCAGAGGAGGTAAAGACACCTTCATTCAAACACATTCATAATAATCATCCTTCATGCTAAACCAACACAACTGGACCTCAAGTTTTTGTATTTCAATCTGCTTTTTTCTGTCAGAAGGTCGTAGAAGGTCTGATTTAGTTCTCACCTTTGTTTTAGATGCTCATGATGATTGTGTTCGTCTCCAAACCGCATGAATACATTTGGAATTCTTCTCAAATTTTCCATTCAAACTTTTTCTCCCCTCAGATTAAAGAAAAGTTGTTACAGTTGACGGACAAGAGGAAAGACATGATAGACAAGTGGGAGGACAGATGGGAGTGGCTGAGACTGGGTAAGGAGTTTAATCCACTTAGTTCCTCATTTAGTCGAGGCTCATGTTGACTGACTTAGCTGAATGAATCTAAGTTCAACATGGAAATGTGTGTGTTCAGTCCTGGAGGTGCACCAGTTCTCCCGGGACGCAGGTGTGGCCGAGGCGTGGCTGCAGGGTCAGGATCCCTACCTGTGCAGCAGGGAGATCGGACAGAGCGTGGACGAGGTGGAGAAACTCATCAAACGCCACGAGGCCTTCGAGAAGTCGGCCGCCACCTGGGAGGAACGCTTCTCCGCTCTGGAGAGGCTGACCACGGTGAGACACACGAGCGCGCACACACACACACACACACACACACACACACACACTCAGGAGCCATGATGACGTTTTAAAAAGACCACAAAAAAATGAGTTGATGCGAAAATGTTTTCATATGCTTACCCTAAAACTCTTCTTAGAAGTCAGATTCACCTGACTTACTATATATATTGCTGTGTCGAAATATGCCAGTAAAAATAACGTCTAATAAACCTCTCAGTAAATTGGCAGCCATGATGGTGATCATCTAATAAACCAATTACTGATTTTGCATGAAGTTTGTTTTACTTAATCTGTTTAAGGTAAAAATTTGCAGATTAAGGGACTGTAAATAATCATTTTAATGACAGAAATTAGATCCGAACATGACTCGTCTGGACGACTCCTGAATTCTGTTTGTACCAAAGAAAAAATAAAAAAGAAAGAAATTGGTGAATGCCACTTAAGGAGGAATCTGTTTGTTGGAGTGGTTCTCGTCTGAGGCTCAATGTGTTTGTGTCCAGATGGAGTTATTGGAAGTGCGAAGAATGCAAGAGGAAGAAGAGAAGAGAAGACATCCCCCGCCCACTGAGGCTCAGCCCGGCGACGCTGCAGCTCAGCACAGGTGAGAGTGTGTGTTTGTGCGTCAACCGTGTTTTATTCCATACTTTTTCATTTTATCTCCGTTTTATATCATTGGAAATTCAATGAAATTAAGGGGATTTACTTCTTCTCTTGTGGGTAGAATTAGCCTTTTCATCAGGAGTAACTGCTTTGAGTTTCACTTCTGTCAGTTGCAACTTGTTCTTCTTTTATATTTGAAAACAACGTTTCAGTCTCTGTGGATTTTTGATACTATAGTAAAACTGAAAACCAAACACATCGGAACGGGAAATGGGTGCATATGAGAAGAGAGTTCATGACCTCATCATGACAGATGATATGGTTGTGAATACAATTTCCCAATAAATAATATTTACATTTTTCAGAAGAATTTCAGCAAACAAAAAATGATGGATCGGTCAATAGCGAAAGCAGTCGTCAGTCGCAGCTGTTCATCAGTGTGAAATCATCAAGCGTGAGTCTAACTCTTTGTGTACTTTGTGTGCTTGCAGGGAGGGTGAGCCGGTGTCTCAGAACGGGCTGCCGTCTGATCAGGAGTCTCCCAGGGTTAGTTACCGCTCACCTGCCTACCAGCAATACAGCAGCACCCTGCAGGGCCGCAGGCCCACGGCCGCACCTTGACACACACACACACACACACACACACACACACACACACACACACACATGCTAATGATGTGTACATTCAACATACTTGAATATGACCTCATGCACATGAAACATCCCAAAACACACGGTTGACCTCAATCAGAAATGTCCTAGACCGGGTGTGTTGTATCCCTCCTCTTCCTTCCACACTCCTGGGATCCACACATTAATGTTCCTGTATGTATTACTTGTCTTCAGCATTTATTGTTTGCTTCTCCTCCTTACTGATTAATAATTTAATATCTAAGTGTAATACGTTTAACTTTACAGCTGTCGCATGCATCATTTTATCTTTGTTTTGAGATATAAGTATAGTTGCTTTTAACAACATGAGATCCTCATCTTTAAGAGGTCTTAAAATCTCCTCTAAAAACCTCTTTATTAAGAGGAACAGTGGACAGGAAGCAGTGGGACTGATGGGAAATGTAGTCTTGATTTGGAGACACTCCAACACTAAGAGTACCACTAGTGTGAGAGCACCAATCATCCTCACAACCAGTAATTTAATGTGAACAATTTTATTATTAAAACATATTGGGTTAAGTAATAACTATACAGATTTAAGAGTGTAACTGCAGATTGTGTTAAAAGGCTTCCATGTGTTTTTATTTAGTGTTTCTGTTTAAATGCATCACTCATGATTATAGTTTCAAGTTATTTGTTATCATATGCATCATATGCAAAGATAACAGAGAAAAATCTTAGATCTCAGACTCCCTCCAACAATGCTCATTTAATATGTACAATAACATCACGCATGTAAAAACATATTTGGAATGTAAGACATAAAAAATAGCCTTGTCTGTTCGGGAAAACATTTATTTTAACATACATTTCTCAATCAGGTATGAAAAGTTCCTTAAGTACCAAACATTCCTTTTTGTACTTAATTAGTTCAGAGAAAAAATTTAGAAATAGACGTGATGGACAACAGTAAAACTTGTAATGTGCTAGCCTCTACTCTTTACACCAAACAGAGTAGCAGTACATGAGTGATGTAAACAGAAAGTAATTGTAGTGTTTTAAACATTTAAATGTTTGCATTCTGAGACAATAAGCAAAAAAAGGATGCATCTCCTTTTGGTATTAGTGTGACTGCATACGTGGTGAATGGGACCACAAAACAAACACACACACACACACACACACACAAAACAAGCCCCTCTTGTATTTCTAGCCATCCCTCCCCTCATTTTTTCTTTCCCGTTCCTCCCTTCTCCCCTCTGTCTCTCTCAGCGTGACACTCCCGCCGTCCTCTCCCCTCAACTGTTAATGTTGCTGCTACTTTATGTTGTCATTTATAAACTCACCCTCTGGAATATGAACACCTGAGAAACACACAGCCCTCTCTCCATAATCTGCATTTAAAGCCTCAAACAGGGATTTACAAATCTATTAGTTCTAGTTTTCTGGGCATTTGTAGTATTTGTATAGATTATATTTATACCAGAATGTAAATGATAGCGTCATCTGCATAATGTCGCATACGATAATGAAACGTAACGTAAAATGACAGACGAAATATAAAGTATGCATTCATCAGTGATAATAAATCAACAAAAACGTTGTTGTACATTCTCCTAAACCTATTTAGGTAAATTACGTCTTACTCTTATTGTCTTAAAATAAAGGATTTTAAGCTGCTATAAGTTTAGTTTGATCATTAACATTTCATATTGCGTAAATGCGATCAATCACAGATATATGAGGAGTTACATTTCAAAGTGCTACTTTATATTGTTTTGGGAGAGAACCCTTCTCTAAAGTAATATATTGTCTGAGACATATTGTCCAGAAATGTATTCGAAAAACTACGATATTCATTTTTTCCGCAGAATAGATCGTTGTAGAAAGTTACTTTAAAAACTACTTTTAAAAACAACTCTTACTGTATCTACCTGCCCCGTGTGTCTACATCCCACAACCCACATTCGCCATCTCCATATGTTTTTTCCATAGAGTGCAGTATGTTTACCACCACGTCTTCCATTACACATACATCATACTCTATGTAAAGTACCATTCAGTTAACAGCACATCAGCCTTTCTTCATGTAAAGCTGCTCTGAATGGGATTAACTTTTTAAACCTGATCATAACTATAAAAGTGTTTGTGTCCAGATGATAATCATAGTTTACTTAATATTTATTCAAGTAAACATTAACAGTTAAATAGTTGCATTCACAACTTTTCAGGTCCAGAATAGTACCATGACAAGCATAACTCATTTAACAGGAAAGATCATGTTGGTTTTGCTCATTGTACATTTTTCTTCTTTCACAACTCCCCACTCTGCATTTACCGCCTGTTACTTTAACATTATTCACTATTGTATAGTAAAAAGGGCAAATCAATAATGCACATTCTAATTGTCATTTAAGTTGCATGATCAGTATGTACAGCAAGACTGTACATACTGATCATGTGTATATGAATTAATCTTCAACCTTCCAGTTTCATGAAAATTGGTCTTTCATTGATATACAAGCATTTAGACATATCCCATGTTGTGTGTGTGCATACCTACTCCATCCTCATTGTATTTACTCTAAGATCTTTTGTCTCTGTGACACTGTTTTGTATTGTTATTGTGATTGATCTTTATTCCCATTGTTTACTGTTATAACTTCTTTATTTCTCTTCACGGTGTTTGTTGCATGTCCAATGCTCCGTCATTGGTTCCCTGACTAACACACATTCCCTAATAAACCTTGTAAGAACCAATCAGATCACTCGGACCCGTTCTGGTTCGTCTGTCTGTGTTATCGATGTGTAATCGTGACTTTTCTCCACACACAGTTGTTTTTGTTGTTGCATGCTGTCTCCATCATTAGCATTTCAGTTGAGTTTTTTGTCAATGTTGTAATTCTTCATTCCATGTTCTTCACCAGTTTTCCCCCTGGGGCTTTATTTTAATATGTGTGTATATTTTGGCTTCTTTCATTGACGTGGATCAAAAATCAATAAAATGAACGTTGAGTTAAAATAATGATTGAATAGCCATAAGACAACTCGCATTAGTAGCATTTTCTTTGTTTTCATAGTAAATAACTAAATTGTGGGTAACCGCTGGGTAATTTAATTATTACACAATATATTATTATTTTAACAATAGATTTTAATAGGAATAGGAAGGCAACTACACATAGTTGCTGCTGTTTCCTGTCAAATGGCTGTTATAAAGACATTTACGACCCAAAGTTAAAGTTTTCTAGTTGATGGTTGTGGTTTAAAGTCCTGATCTTGTAAAAAAACAAACTTAGAAATATACTTGCTACATATAACAGTCACATTAGGTATGAAGCTCAGCGGACATGTTTTTTATGTAGAGAAAGTAAAAACAAACAAATAAAAATATAGAGCTGCAGATGGAAGATTTAGACTCGGTTCAGTTTCATCATGCCAGCATCAGTCAAGACCACATTTAGTTAATTTACAATAACATTAAAACAAGCTCACTACCGTTTCTGGTGGGTATTTCACAGCCAAACAAAATTTGTCGCCTGCCAGAAATCCAACCAATGATCAGAAAAATAATTAATAGTCGTGACGTTAAGCTGCAAGTCAAACGATCTCACAGGAATTCGACACGGTTCTAAAATGAGTCCGGGGCGATTAATTCAGGGATAAAATCAGGTTTAATCCGTACAGTCTGCCCTGCTTTACTTGTGCAAACTAATCTTGACTTAAAAGTCAAATCCTTATAAAGTAATAACTAAAACAATTTCTGATGAGGTCTATTGTGAAAGTAGGATTATGTGACATAGTTGAAATGTTATATGCAGTAGCAGTACTTCATATACTTTGATATTTGATCATTTAGTACAATGAAAAAATCATTAAAAAGCGGTAAACTACAACTTTTTTGATTTTGGTAAAGATGACAACATTGTCTATTAATTCTAGAGTGGAAACGAGTGTTAACATTGATTCATAGCAGCCTCAATTCAAAGTTTTTAGAAGAGATAAAATGACCATTGGCATTTGTCAACAGTTGTCAAAGTTCTCAGAATTAATAGAAGCTTGTCAAGAAAGCTTGATAAGCTTTAAGCTCCAGCACCTAGAACTGGTCCAGACCTTGACCCTCTTTCAGTGAGAGGTCCAACATTAAACAAGCCACTAAAAGAAATCTCCGTATGGGTCCGACCTTTGATTAGCTGTCAGGGAAAGTTTTGTCCAACCCAAGTAAATGCTCTCGGGATTCGTAATAAATGCTCTCACGATCGGTCTAGCTCTCGCTAAGCTCTAAATAAAAGCTCCCAGGATCGGTCCAGCTCTTGCAGCCCTTCAGTTAAAGCTCCCGGGATCGGTCCAGCCTCTGAACTGTGCTCAAAAAGAGTGTCCTCCATTGGTCCAGCCCTTGAGGAGCTCAGTAACAGGGTAATAAGCATCCGGTTGGAGTGGGTGTGGTGTGGAAAAATAAAATCTGTTTTGATACTAGGCCAATCGCATTCTCCCCTCACCAATAATGATGCCCAGTAATGACTTCCAAGCAATTCTGTTGGTAATTGTTTGAGATTTTATTGAGTTTTTTGTGTTTCCCATCTGCTAGCTTCTCCCTCTCCTTGTCTTTCCTCACACTGTCCACCATGTTGTGTGTTATTGAGTGGTGTTGTGATTTATTATGCATGTCCTTAAACCTGTAATCAGTGCATGATCAGACTGTTGCACCTGTTGGTGCTCTTAATGTGCAATGCAGATGTTTTTCTAATCCGTACTAGACTCCAGCGCTGAGCTCTTAATTAAATGCTAAAAAAAACAAACGCTTCTAAATGCATTCCGAAGGCTGAGGTAGCTGATGTTAGTGGTCTGATGGACGGATCTGTGGTCTCGTTCGGTTGAGTGTGTGAGATTATCTTGCATTGCTAGTTTAGTTCAGAGGTAGAGACTTGAGTCAGAGACCGGACAAATTTGGTAACTTCAGGCTTGACTTTAGGAAATCCAACAAGACTTTCAACATTTCAAGATTTAACTAGAAGTTTAGCCGTTACGCTTTCAGTACTTGAATCCTTGAACCCAAAGAGGAACCAGAAACACACAGCAGCCACGTCTGACAGCGGTGCATCATTTAACAAACATTATTTTATTGTCATTTGTTGCCCTTGACTTGAATCTTTGCTCAACCAGGAAAGGGAAACGTACGTTCTCTCTCTTTTACTAGTTAATCTGGTTTCAGCTTCTCAAATGTGACTGACTGCTGAACTTCTTTGCCATATATGACGGTAAAGCGTAATGTCTGTTGGACTTTGTCGTGACTTGGTTTCTTCTGTTTTTTAGATTATTTCTATTATTTTCTTAATATAATTTTAATTGCATTTGGTTGCATTTTTGTCTGCAGATTTTGAAAGATATCTAAACTTTTCAGTCGTAAAACTATTGAAATTATTTTGCAGTTTGAGGTCTGTGCATGGTCTCTGTCTAAATCCAAAGCTGGTGCCTTGTGAACGCTTTTAGGTGCATTAAGTTGACTTACCGGTTATGATTCACGGCGGTCGGAAAGGTCGTAGATAAACTCCAAACAAAAATGTAAAACAAAAAGCACCATGTGTTTGTTCAGGTTGCAGTTTTGGGTAAGTTTAGACCATTTCAAAGTGTTGACACAGCCTGTGATTCTGCTCTGCTCTGCATGCTGCAGCTCTGATAACTATGATTTACAGCTTCTGTGTCTGAGAGAGAGAGATCCATCTATCCTCAGTGCTCTTCTGACTCTCTCCTCTGTTTCCAGGACGTGGAGGGTGGAGATGTGGTGAATGGGGTGTCGGAGCCCAGCCCCGCGGGGTCTCCCGGGGGGTCTCGCAAGGGCAAGGCCAGCCAGGCGGCGACCCTGCCGGCCAAGTCCCAGCAAGACGCTCCCACGTCCCAGCTGGAGAGCTTCCTGCACCGCAAACATGAGTGGGAGGGACACAACAAGAAGGCCTCTAGCAGGTAGGAACCGCTGGGTGATTGTATGCACAACAACTTCTGAAATATGACGACCAAGAAGTTTCTCTGCTGCTTTAGGTGGACTCTGTGATTGTGTCAGCATGATGAAATACACAATCATTTATTTTCATACTTTTCTCTTTTTGGTGTTAAATGACTCTTTAATTCTTTCTCGTCATCATGAACGATTTAACAGAAATGAAAACAAAATCAAACCTTTGACATAAATTCATCTGTTTGTACAGCATAGAATTAAAACACTAATGGTTATTGCTGGCTATTATCTATTGTTGATAAATGATGCGACTGTGCCTCTGCAGGTCGTGGCACAACGTGTACTGTGTGATCAATCAGCAGGAGATGGGCTTCTACAAGGATCAGAAGAGCGCCAGTCAGGGGATTCCCTACCACAGCGAGATTCCCGTCAGCCTGAAGGAAGCCATCTGCGAGGTGGCGCTGGACTACAAGAAGAAGAAACACGTCTTCAAGCTCAAGTGAGAATCGCTTTAAGTGCAAATCTGACAAGTTAAAGGAGGATACAGTTAGTTTCTCTTTCCCCTTAAACAAAGCTCTTAACTCAAGCAAACTCAATCAAATATCGGTAAAGATTCTGTCCGAGGTGAGTAAAACAATCACACCTCTTCTCGGAGTCATAACTCGCATCCTAACACAAAGACCTGAAACATATTTTTAATTTCAATCAGATTTACACTCCGAGGATGTCATTCTCTCTGATGCCCATCATATAAAAACGATGCTCCTTCATCAGGGTCAAAACAAAGACAGTTTGAGAGAGCGGTCAGCAGCACGATCGGTAGCAGTTGTTGATGTTTTGGCCACTTTGTCGGACAGAGGAACTCCTCAACAAGCTGAAAACGCAACAGCTGAGACTGAAGTTTTAAAACATCGTCCAAACTCGTCAACCAGAGTAAAATAAACCGTCTGTAGGTGTGACGGTGAAGGGAGTCTTCAACACTTTGGTATTGATTGTTGTTTAATGCATTCTGTTCCACAGGATTACTGACGGGAATGAGTATCTCTTCCAAGCCAAAGATGACGTAAGTAAAAAAATATATATATTTTTATTTTAATGTTTATTTATTGAATGTTTGTATATTGCTCTTAAATGATAATTATCGTGACTTAAAGTAAAGTGTCACAACAGCTGCTCTCCCCGGGTCAACACTGCTAACACTCCTCCCTCCTCCTTCCTCTCTCCTTCTCCTCATCCTCCAGGAGGAGATGAACATGTGGATCTCGGCCATCTCGACCGCCATGACGGGCGACAAGACGGAGGTGACTCCCAGCAGCCATAGCACGCCGGCCCCAGCCGCACGCGCTCAGACGCTGCCGGCCTCCGTCGCCACAGCGGCGGCGGTGGCGGCGGCGGAGTCCAGCCCGGGCAAACGAGAGAAAGACAAGGAGAAGCGCTTCAGTCTGTTCAGCAAGAAGAAATAGACAGTCCTCCTCTTCCTCCTCCTCCTCATTCCTCTGGTGCTGTTTGGGGTCGCTCCTCATCATCGATCCATCTCTGGTCAAATATTTGTTGAAGATGTCCGTGTCAATTGAGCGAATATTTGATTTAGAGTCCGCTCGTAGCAACTGATACTGTAATAATTAAAACTAATAGAATAACTGCTCAACGTGTGATTAAATTTACTTCTAAATGGATTCAAATGTACTCAAACCTGTTAGTCTGTTAATGTGATAATATTAAATGATAACTAAGGTGAGTTGATGAGGAAAAAAGATACTTCATCGTCGGTTTATATTACCATGTGACTCATCGGCAGATCTGGACAGTTGATACAGCAGTTGCTATGTTAAATCCCAAACAGCCTCTCCTTCTCTTCCTTCTATTCTTTCCTCCTCTTCCTCCTCTTCCTCTCTCAAAGTGTGACTCCAGCATGCAAGCTCCGAGCCAAAACTCTCCACTCTGTGCCTATCAACCGTCCGGTCTGGCTCAGAGCTTCAGTACAGCTACCACACACCAACCTGTGTCCTCCGTTCAGTTTTTGTAAGATAAGGAGCAGGAAAAAAAAAAAAAAAAAAAAGATCGGCTTGAAGGAAAACAAATTTAAAAGGGGTCTGCAAACGCTTCAGGCAGCTGCCGTCACAAAGATAAAAACCAGAGTTTGCCGCTGAACAACAACACGCTTTAGAGGAGTTCCCAGAATATTCCTGTTTATTATTATTATTATTATTATTATTATTATTATTTGTGTTTTCTATCTCCTACTGTTATTTTTCTCTCTGCTTTCTCATCCTCCCAGCGTTTCGTCGACTACTGCCTTTTGTGGGTTGTGTTTACGCTCCCAAGTCGTCTCAGTTTCTTTTGTTTTGTTTTTTTTGGGAAGTTGTAGTTGGTTCCTGTTTGGGTCCATCCTCAGTTTTTGCGAGGCCTTGTCTTTGCAAGATGACGTGTATCCCTCTGTAGTGGGGAAAACTGAGACCACAGCGGGGTAAACCTCTGAAATTACACCTCTCGCACCTTTTTAATTTGAGCCGAAATGCCTAAAACTATGTGCAAGTGGAAAAACGTGCCGAGTCATGTGCTGAAAGCGGTTTAAACTTTGAAGAGCAGGAAAATCGAGTTCAAATTGCAAAACAAGAGCGCACCAAACAGCATTTTATGCACTGAATAACTCCGCTTTTCTGTTGGTTAAATTTGTGCAATAAAACCTGTGAGAAGCTTATTATCATCATTATGTTCTGGTGCTGTCTAATTCCTGCAGCTTCACAGAAAGAAAAGAAGCGGAACGTGGCTGTAATTTGGAGAGTTACCCTGCGGTGCTTTGAACTGTGTGTATAACTTGTGTATAACAAACTTAAAAAAATGAACCTGTTTAATTTCACCTATATTTACTACTAATAAGACCTACAAACCGTAATAAGCTTCATTTGAGTATAACGTTCTTTACCTGAAACTTAACGATATGTACACTTAACCAATCTGAATGAAGGAGCTATTGAGCCTCGATGGGGGAATAAATAACTAAGACAAGTAAGAATGTTTGTGAACTCAAACTTTTAAGCATCCAGTAAGGTTTATTTTCTACCCTGGTTACATTTATTTCCTCTTTGTTTGGAGTATGTTTTTGTTTCCTCCAGTGTGTATTTTCTGTTCCACAGTTAACTAAGGTTTATTTAGTCTGACGAGTGAAGACGTAGATGTACTATAAAAACAAAGTTGCTTTAAGCATTGCTGTTAAGTGGACAAGTTGGTTCTAAAAAGCATTTTCTGGGAGTGAGTAATGTTGCAGAATAATGGTCGCTTGCTTGTTGGCTTCAGCACTCCATTTTATTTTTTTTCAGACTTTTGACCACCAATGAAGAGAGAACTGTAGTTACTTGTGTGGTTCGGTTTCATATGGAAGTTCTTTGATGACAAAATGAACGAGAGATTTGCACTGTAATCAGTCTGAGGTGAGATTTGAGAGCATGCGGAAACAGATTTGTTAGCATGATTTTTAAGAACAGAATTGTGACTTTTAATCAATGTTTTGAGACATTGTGTGAACGGCCTTCCTGGCGCATGTGATCTTTAAATGAGCATGCTGTAGTTTGTTTACCTTGCCTACTTTGAAACACTCGTTAATGTTACTTGACCCAAGATGCACCTCCATAATATCAAGTTTCAAAATATCAAGTGTGCTGGTTTGGGGGATTTGGGGCACTGTTAGGCAGAAACTGAAGGGGTTAATCAATGGTCTGGCTGTTGGACGATTGAATGGATTTCACAATCGGGGGTTGTGTCTCTAGCTGAGCAAAACGCATCCACGTATTCTCCAGAAATATGTCTCCACAATTTCACAAAATCTGTCAGAAAAGGTGAGTTTAGGTTTCAAACTAAACTGCAAATCCCACCGTTGCTTTTTAAACTTGCTTGATTGAAGCCTGAATTTGTTTTGTGCTGATTTGTAATTTTGTCATGAATTAACTTCCGTAGCTGCCAAGAAAAGTGGAAACAAATCTGCAGGAATGAGCCCCCAAAGTGTGAAAGGTGGGCGCGTTGGTGAAACACCTCAAGTAACTGAGAAACTCTTCACTTGGTGATTGGTCCTGAAATGCTTCCTGTCATTCTTATTCTTTATGCTACATTCTCTGGCAATTTGATAAGTATAGTGTGCATTCCTCTGTCACTGTAATCATAGTAACGAGATATTTCTTCATATTGCACAATCAATAATGCCACAATGGGGGTGGGCCGGGTTGGGGTGGGTGGGTGGGCGGGCGGTGCCGGGGTGTTTGTAGGTGAGGTAGTCGGTGTGATGTGGACTTGGGGGGTGGTCACTGCTAGTTGGATCTGCACCCGTAGACTTCTCCTGATCTCTGTTACATATGTGCAAAAAGCCATTAAAATGCTTTTAAAATGAACCAAACGTTTGTTCTCTTGTGTGTTTGTGTGAAGTTAATAGATAAAAAGTAATGTCCACCTGCTGCCACAAATATGCCAAGCTTTTCATTTACATACATGCATTATGAGGCTGCCTTCTACTACGCCTTTGACTGTTTTATTCAGTCAATTTGTCTTTTTTTTTTTTTTATGCTTTTTTTCATGCTGAATGACTTATTTCCAAGTAACTTGTGAGCAAATCTCTGGTAAACATTTAAAGTGATGCTTTTGTGTGATTCTCTGAAGAAACTCAGTTTTACAGATCTGTCAATGGAAAAGTCGTAAAAACAATAGAGGAGTGCCGGTCAACTAAGAATGTCTTTGATTGAGGAGAGCCCTACATAATACACAAACCTCAGCTGGTGGAAAATAAGCTTGAGAGCCTGAAACTGAATGTGCAAAGTTTGCAAACTGAAAATTCTTTAGATAAATGAAGCCTGTAAGCACAGACCTGAAAATGTGAGGTTGTACAAGCAAACAAAGCTGCTCGCCCACCTGTGAGAATGATGATTCATATGATACACGCCTGCTGTTACTTACTAGAGAAGCATCTCTTTTCTTCTTAGAATTAGAATTTTAACATGTTTTTGGGGATTTGACACGAGAGCAGCCTCTTAAAGATTCTACGACATCCTCTTACTGAAATACCCAAATGTGCTTGTGTCACAAGGCCAGAGGCAGAAAAGGCTCAAGGAGAATAGACAATGAAACAGAAATGATGTAAACCACAAGGTGTTTCTAGTTTCAGCCTCTTCCTCCTCTTAAGATGCACATTTTAAGACCGAGCTCATAGCAGGTCAACAAACCTCAGCTCAGATGTGGAGAGTAATGTGGCTTGTTTTGCACAAATTTAGAGGTCTAAAGCGTCGCAACGGACAATTTGGTTTGTGATGCTCATAGAAGTGAAATCGGGAAAAAGTTAACGGCGTCCCTTTCCTGAAACAGTTTTCTGGTCATGGGGGATTCTTTCTGGCAGATAAATGGTTTGAAGTTGTCCACAGTGAGGTCTGTGTCTCCGTTTGTCAGGCGTTGCGGGGACATTGTTTCTGGAAAGAAACAGTACTGTTGAGTTTATTTTTTTAAACATTTAATGTTTGGTGCAGAAGAAACTAGAGGCAAATATCAGATAATCATATCGAGACAATCGGCTTCAGACTGTCTGGTGATTTATTTTAAACCGTCAGAGCCTCATTAAACACAACTTTCCAAGTAAAACCGTGTGTGTGTGTGTGTGTGTGTGTGAGAGTGTGTGAGAGAGATCAGGATTACAAACTCCATGCAGAGAGAATTTAATCAAACACTCACTCACACTGTTCAGACTCTTTCTCTGCTGTTTAAACTGAAGATACTCTGAGTCTCTTTTATAGTATCATAACTTTATATTTCATGATGAGATGAGACAATTAAAAGTGTGGATTTAGAGCTTTTATGTATTTGTATTATGTCTGTAGACCTTTCAAATATTTTTATGAACAAATATTTACAAACATAATACTTTCAGTGATTTTCAAGCTGATTTTGAATGGGGACAAAAAAGTGTTGATCACTATAGATGCGAATAGTTTTATTTTTTATACGTTTCTATTTGTTTATAAACATTGAACTCTATTTCAAGTGATTATCACTAAATACATTTGATTTTTCTTGTATTTTTAGGGGTTTCTGGTAGCTTTATACTTTTGTTAAATTGACGAAATGGAAAGTCAGAATTATAGCTGAGTTTGTGCTGAAAACAAATGACACCATACATGTGATGTCATGATAGAAATACAAAGATGAATGCATAGACAGTCTGCAAAACATGAACCAAAATGAAACTGGTTTTAACTGGTTTCTAGTTTCTCTCTTGTTCAGTATTTTGGCTTCCATACTGAATCAGTAAACATCAACTTCCTCTAAAAGACACTCATACAATTGTTGTTTTTCTTTATTTGAAGCTTTAAATAACTCGGATCTGTTTACAGTTCAGTGTATTTTGATGCTTTGGCCTCAAGATGGTGCAACAGGACCAGAGGATCTCAGAGGAGGTTCAGTAAATCATTTGAGCTCCACAAAAATCTACAAAGACAATCGTGTGAGTCGAACTTTATTTACACTCTGCGTTCATACAAATCCATAGAAATGTCACACGAGTCTTCTCCAGAACATCACAACATTACCCCCCAGATTTTTCTGGATTCTGGTACAAATCTGAGATTTGTCTGTTTGTCTCAGACGCACCATCTCACAGCATTCCCTTTACAACATGTATCATTTCAATTAAAGGATGTTTGACTCCAGTCTTTAAATTGAACAAATCAAGTTATTGGATAGTTCAGCCAGACTTTTCTCCAAAGGAGAGCCTCAGGCAGACAAACTTAAATAAGTTTTACTTTTCACCGATTTTGAGATGCTCTTATCTCTTCTCATTTAGACGTATTCAGGTATCATCAATAGAATTGCTTGTTTTCAGCTTACGTCATACTGTACTATGATTCTTTTCATGAGATTTTAACGACTTATTGTAACATAATATGATTCTTTTCATTTTAACGACATACTATAACATTGTCAATGCAGGACTTTTATTTGTAACAGTATTTTAACAGTGTGGTATTAGTACTTTACTAACATTAAGTATTTTAATACTTCCTCCATCTTTGGTTTGTTTATTTATATTTAAAATCTTTGTGAAATGCAAAACTTTGTCTCTCTGTCACCCCCTCCACGCTCTCCCACCAGATGTCCTGGATGGAGGTGCTGCGGTCTCAGTTCTTCGCCCACGTCTTCAGTGGGTAAACGAGGAGGAGGAGGAGGAACTCACTCACTCATTCATCCCCACTGCAAATTATCTCTCCATCTGCACTGTAGCTCACACACCGGGCTGCGTGACTGACTCACACCTTGTTCTACAGGTTCTACAGAAAGAGAGAGAAAAAGAAACAAGAACTCGTCCAATATATGAGTAAAAAATATGATTTAACTCTTCCAATAAATATTCCTCTGGAGGGTTTGGAGGAAGGATATTATTACCAGCGGGTATTCTCTCTGGTAGAACAATTATAGACACAATCCAATTTAAATAGATGTATGCATACTTTAACAATACTGAATTTAGGGCAAGCCTAGTACAAGCCGTTCTCAAAGTCATCATACTGACGCTAGACAACTTAATGAACTCTATGTAATGCTAGTGATGAAGAAGAAATGTGCTTTAGCAACTGCCTCGATATATTGTGCATGCAACCAGCCCAGGAGGGCCTATTTCATTGTGAACTTTATTCTTCATTAATATTTGAACTGTATTGTATCTGTAACTTTCATAGTTCCACATTTGATTATCGTTTTAAAAGCATTAGCTCACTTCAGGTCGTGACATTTGTTGTCGGGTGGAACAACGCTTCTTAGCTGTGATATAATCAAGATTTAATGTTTCATTTATTCTCGTTGTGCAATGCTGGGTTGTGCAAGGACATCAGTTGTGGTCCCATTTCGCTACAGAAGAAAGACGTATACCAAAAAGGCCAAACTGTATTATAAGGTGGAGGGTGAGAATCAGCTGCTGAGCAACAAACTCTTTAAAGCAAGACATTTCCGAATCCACCTTGTCATTTTACAGCCTCCCTGTTTTCTCATTGTGTGTCAACGCAGCTCATGAACTCAAAAAAACAGATGTCAAAATGTCCTTGAACACAACAATACAAAGTTTTTGAAAGCAGTCTCTGCATGATGTGCTATGCTGTATGCTCCTTTTAAAATCCTAACAGCTTCATAGTGAGACTCTTTTCTTTATTTTTCATTTTCCTGCTGTAACATTAAGTTTTAGTTTTACTAATTAAACTTCCGCTGTCTCTGTTTCAGACCTTTGACCTCTGAACTTAAATCTAATAGTGACGCAGGAAAAGAAGATTCCTTTTAGCTTTAAGTATAAAACTTTCATTTAGTGTGGATTTTTTTTCCGGCTGTGATCTGCTGCATCAATAAAAACTCTATTTTTTTTCTCCTCAGATGGAAGAACAATGCTGCCTCTGTGATTACTTCAGGGACCCTCTGACCTCAGGAAATCGAGTGTGTCGAAGGTAGACGATCAATGAATAATCTGTTTTTCTTCACACAGACAGACGCATCTCACAGCAGTTAAAAGTTAATAATCAACAGTTCAGACACAAAAAACTCATCCACATTATAATTTAGGCATAAATAACATTTAGATATTTCCACAAATGTTCCTCCCAACATATTTCTTTCCTTCCGATGTCCTGTTTTCATTTGGCCATCACGATGCTTTGGATGTTTCAAGTCTTTAACAACAAAAAGCAGCAGCAAAGAAAATGTTTTTATATGTCCGTCCATTTTGGATGAATAAAAGTTTGAACATTCTCAGTGTAGCACCAGACAGAGTACAAAATAAGTTCAACTGTGGATTAAATAAAAACACAGTGTATGAAATATCCCACTCCCAAGGAAAAGAAGAAAACAAACACAGATAGAAAGACCCAGAAAGGCACTTAAGTGTGGTGGTATCGACAGAAAGGCTCTTTGAAATGAAAAGTGAGTTTAAATCAAATCTTTTCTCGGTTACAGACAAACTCCAGGATGTTTCTATGAATATGAATCACATCTTTTCTCCCAGTCCAGCGTCCCATCCCAGTGATCCCAGTTCAGAAAGTCTTGAATGATACGTACAATTTCTAACATCAGTGTCCTCTCAGCAGCTTGATCAGAACAACTATAACCCAGTGTGTTACGGTTTGTCCTTTAAATGGTCCCATCAGTATGGTTGTTTTTCTCAAAGGTAACCTGAATGCAGCATCAGCAACGTTACTGAGACGAGTCCAGCAGGCAGATGTTTAAAAGAGACAAACACAAACCTTCATTTAGTTGATGTCCCCACAGTGTTGCAAGACGGGAGAATTCAGTTTCATCTCGGAGATTAATTTGTTTTCCAGTCGATCTTTGGCTCCTCTGCAGTCTACTCAGTCGTTAGTTTGTAGAGGTTTAAACTCAGATTTTTCGGTCCATAGTATGTTCAGCTGATAGTAGTGCTAACACTAGACTAACTTATTTCTATTGTAAAGTTTGAACATGTTGCCTGTTGATTCCAGCTTGTTATCGGCTGCATTATTTGTTCACGTGACAGTGAAACAGAAACCTGTTCTTATTTAAATCTTCACACATTTTGATGCTAAACTTCCAGGTTTCTTTTACCAACGACTGGTGATTTATTCTATTCTTATTCAACTGTTGCGCTGAGGGATCTTTGTCTCTTTCTGCTCTTTCTATTGTCAGTCTGGATTATTTATGCATCTGGCCCCTGGACGAATCGTTTCTTTTACGTGAAAATCCAAAAATGTTGTGTTGAACCTTCTTTCTCTGAACCTTGCGGTGCACTGACTACAATGACGACGCTGTGAGGACGAGATGGTGATTGAGCAGAACAACATGACAGTAAGTTGAACCTCTTCTTCACTGTGACTAACTGGGCAGTTGTGAATTCAAGTAAACCAAAAACAAAGTTCAGACCAAGAACCAACATCTTATGATTCTTCTGGTTTCTTCTTCATTTTTTGGGATCCATCATGAAGCGTCTCATGTGTTGCGCTTCAGTCTGAACTTTTCTGCCTCGCCACCAGAACAGAATCCAAACGTCTCGTCTTCTTCCATCTCCAACTTCTAAATTCTAAAAACTAAAAGTTCAAGGTTGCAGGTTCGATTCCCTCTGGATCCACTTGTGGTGCTGTTAAGGCGCTTTGGATAAAAGCGTCACCAGACGGTAGAAGTCTCTGCGTTTTACAGGCATTTCCACACAAACACACTGAAACACACAAACAGACGTTAACACTCTCTCTCTCTCCAAATAATGTTTCATGTCGTAGCTATATGTATCAGGTGACTGTTACTGATCAGTGATCGGTTTTACCTGCAGTCGTCTCCTCCTGTGCTGATCACATATTTGTCTTCATGCGAGAACCGGATGTTGGTCACATGAGCCGAGTGGCCGAGGTAGCGCTTGTGTTTGGCCTGCAGACATAAAGGTATGGCAGACAGAATTACCAGCATGGGACCAAAGCACACAATAACAAACTAACCAATAGAGGCAGCGGTAAGTCTGGTGGTTTTGAAGAGAGCATAGATGAGCATAACTGCTTCAGTTCTGACGGCAAGGTTAAGGGGTGAAAATATTCTAAATATTGCGTACACTTAAACTGATAATGATTTTTTTTTAGGTGCCTTTTGCTGCTGCCCCCGTCCACAGCAGTGCATTGTTTTTACCCCGATGCCAGTACTCAGTCAGTACTGTAGGTAATACACAGACTATGGATACAGACCTCATACAACCCCACTTCAAAACACCTGAACTATACCTTTAAGTAAGTTCACTTGCATCCGTAACTTAAAAAACATCAAAAGTGACTTGGTTTCACACGGGACACAAACAGTGTTCTGCAGGGTGAAAGTCCTGTGTTTGTCGTAATAGGCTGTTAGGACAGACAACCTTTGCAACCCTTTTCGGGGGGGCCGTTTGTATTTATTTTATCTTGCTAGCAAAAGATATAACTTCTGGGCACAAGACATGGATAAAAAAAAAGGTTAAATGTTTTTTACCTGCATTTGAATTCCTTTACCACCAAAAATAGGAGGATTTGTTGAAAATGAAATGTTTTGTGAGAAATGTAGAATTCTTGCGGAACATATTTTGAGAGCTCAAATGTAAACGTGGGTGACTCACAAACTTCTCTGTGCAGGGAAAGTCGAACAGTTTGACCAATCCGAAGTCGTCACCGGTGACGACATTCAGGCCGGCGTGAGACACACACGCACAGTTCACTTCAGCTTTGTCTGCGTTTCGCGGCCATATCCCCAAAACTTCATCTCCCAGGATGCTGTGGGAGAGAAAAGACAAGTTTAGTTGCAAAACTACTAATATACTGTGAGTTTCTTATGACATTTTTATGCCATAAAGTATAAGGCTAGAGCGTGTTGATATCTGTGAATGTCTTTGTTTACGAATCGTGTGAGTGAAAGAGAGAGAGACAGAGAGAGAGAGAGAGAGACCTGGTCCAGGTGGCCCAGGTGATTCTGTCGATGATGGTCTGGTCGTTCACCAGCTTCCCTGAAGGAGCCTCAAACACCTGCCGCTTATAAGCTACTGTAGACACCTGCAGAAACAACGCACACAGAATGTTAGGTTTCTAGGTAATCTAGGTCCATTATACAGTATCTACTGTGTATATATATATACTTTAAATACAGTGTTTATACATGTATAATATGGATACATGTGTGTGTACCTGTATGTAACAGCTGTCAGCAGAGAAGTCGAGCTGCAGGATGAAAGCAGGGATGTTGCTGCAGTAAACCAGCCGGTTCAGAGTCGGCCCTCCGCTCACATCGTAGATATCCACCGTGTTCTCCACAGAACCGACCGCCAGCAGCCGCCGGTCCGGACTGAACCTGCACAAACACATACAAGAGTTCACTCAAACGAAAGATACTCAATTAATATGCCCCTTATATCCTTAATCCTCACACTCAGCGTAATATTAAGAACGTATTTTCATCTATGAATTTCGTTGTTTTCTAAATTTTCTGTGTTGTGAAAATACTTTTTGTCTCCGGCTTCTCGGACTTTAGTTTCTCTGTTGTTGGTGGTTGTTGTTTTTTCTGTTAATGCCAGTGGTGGCATTAAAAATGTACAAGTATACAAGTAAAAGTCCATTTACCATTAACCAAGTACAAATACTTAAAAAAACAAAAACAAATACTCCATTTATCTGACAGCTTTATTTTATAAAAAATGTATATTTTCAAACTCCGCTCTCTCTCCCACCGGATGTCCTGGATGGCGACGCTGCGGTCTCGTTTCTTCGCCCACATCTTCAGTGTGTTGGCGAGGAGGACGAGGAACTCGCCGTTCTTCATCCCCACGGCCAGCATCTCTCCGTCTGCACTGTAGCTCACACACCGGGCTGCGTGGCCGACACACACCTTGTTCAACAATTTCTACAAAAAGGGAGAGAAAAAGAAACAAGAACTCATTCAATATACGAGAATATGAATAAATATCCCTCTGGAGAGTTTGGAGGAAGGATATTATTACAAGCCGTGACAGCGAATGTGGGATTCTTTTTTCACCTTCTGAGTCTGTGTGTGAGTCACCAGTTGTTTATATTTCTGTCTGACAGACTTTGTCACATAAATAGCATCGGGATGTGCAACGACCAGGACAGGAGGGCTACAGTGACTTGAAAAGAAAATCTGCAAAGTCTTTGCTGATTCATATTTTCATGAATAATTATTCTATAGTATCTCTTACAACTTAGTCGGTGACAGTGAGATGGTGGCGTTGTGTGTGTGTGTGTGTGTGTGTGTGTGTGTGTGTGTATGTACGTGTACCTTGTCAGTGAGGTCCCACAGTCGGATGGTGGCGTCGTCACTGGCGGTGATGCAGAGCTCTTTGGCAGGATGAGCAGTCACACCCCAGATCCCCCCCCGAGCGTGACTGTCCAGCAGCAAGTTGGACGCTGCGTTCTTCTCCCCGACCTCGATGATCTCCCCGTCCTTCGTCCCCACCAGGATCTTACCCTGAGGAGGAAGCGGGGGATGTGGGCTGATGAGGAAGGTCTGCCCTGAGGGAGGACGATAACTGAGGGGTGAAGATCAAAAATCTAAACTTCTCACTTTGCCTCTGCAGACGGATCGGACACACTCCACCTGCTGTCCCGTCTCCAGCTGGAAGGCTCGGCAACGTTTCATCTCCTGATCCCAGAGCTTCACCGCACCACCCTCCTTAGTCCTGACACACACACACACACACACACACACACACACACACAAACAAACAACAACAAATGAGGATGTCATTTGTTTCTGAGATTTCAAGACAAAAAAATTATAATTTTTCCTACTAAATATGTAAATATTGACAGCTTTTCCATGAGGTAAAATGAAGAATGTTCATAGTGTGCATCTGTAGGTGTGTTACTCACGGCCTCTCCTTGCCGCCGGTGACGATGAGTCCGTCTCTCAGCGTGGTGTACATGGTGAAGACCGGCCCGGTGTGAGCCTTCGCCACCACCCTCAGCAGGTAGTGATCCCGCCACACGTACACGTCCCCGTTAATGGCTCCAGTGAACGTCAAGTTATTCTGCAAACACACATTCAGGAAGAAAAACGTCACTGGTTATAGAGCTGAACTCTGTGACGCCGAATAATGAATCACATGTCATATGATTAATAACAGTAATTCTGATAGACAAACACTCAGTACCTTAGTTTTATCAATATTGATATTGCGTATATATTTAGTCGTGTCCCGTTTCAGGTGATTTTACAAACAGCGACAATAATTCAGCAGGTGACTCACAGCACCGAAGGCGACAGACAGCATCGTCTGCATCCTGCCGTCCTCCACCGTCCCCACCACGCCCTTCTTGTACATCAGAGCGCCGCCGGCCAGCGTCCAGAACTTCACATGTTTAATTCCCGCCGACACAAACTGGGAGTCCGAGTCCGGCCGAAACTCCACCACGAAGATCCGGTCCGGGTGTCCGGCTTTACTGCACACCTTGGATCCTGCAGTGGAGTTATTTTAAATGTATTTTTATCTTAATTACTATTAATTACTATTCTCACATCATGTACACACCAAGATCTTGTCATCCGTCAACACGTTGATTGATAATATTTCAATGGGTTGAGTAATTTATCATGTAAAAACATTTCATGTTTCCAGATTTGCAACAGGAACATTTTCAATTCATGGACTTTTACTCTTTTAATGACTAGGCCGTCTGACCTTCCTGCCAGCGCCACACAGTGATGGTGTGTTCAGGATCCACTCCAACGGACAGCAGCAGCTTCCCTGTGGCGCTGAAGTTAACGTAGCCGACGCCTTTAGTGTGAGGACAGCGGAGGATGGACAGAGTCTGTTTACTCATCGCATCCCACACATGGATGGAGGGAGTGGTGCCTACGCACAGATCAAGAGACACGAGGAGAGAGGGCACAGAGCGAGGTTTTTATCATGACAGAAGGGCGACAGAGTGTCACAGAAACAGAGCAGGGAGAGGGATCAATGCAGCCTACAAACACCCTGACAACCAGACCAACGGCAGTGCTTCTCTGTTAAAACATCACACTGGTAGCGTCATCAACCAATCTGTTTTTAGATTATTTTCCTGTTGGCTTTGGAAGAAGGGAAATCCTGAGTTCCTGCTAAAACTCTGCCGCTGGTCTCTGGGTGTCAGGGTGTCTGTCGTGGAGAGGCGGGGTGCGGTTTGTTTTTTACCTGGCAGTTCACTGACGTCACCTGAGGTGTTGTGAGAGAGATGGCGACAAATGAGGCCAGCCAAAACACACGCACACACACACGTACAAAAACAAAACAAAAAAACAGATAAAAATGTGAAGTGAGTTGTTTTAAAGAGGCTCAGCCATGACAGTAAAGATGAATATTTATGGGTCAGTTTTGCTGTTTAAATCAACCTTAAAATAATCAGGAGATTAATGCATAAATAAAATAATCCTAAATTCAAAATGAGCTCCACTTCAACCATCTACAACAGTAAAACCCTGTTTTTACATTAATTCATAAATAATAATAATCTAATGATATATTAAATAGTACCAACAGTCACAGGGGACATGTTTCTGCTTTTAATACTTTAAATACATTTTCCTGATTATACTTTTACTGAAGTACCATTTAAATGCAGGACTTTTACTTGTTACAGTGTTTTTTTCACTGTGGTATTAGCTGATAACTGTTTTATTTATACAAAAAAGCTGAACTTAATGAAAGCCCCTCTCCTGCTCTCTACGCTTCTTTCCGCAAAGTTATAAACTACATGAAACAATTTCCATTCCGTCCCTTATGCTTCTTCAAATGAACTTTACATCTGCTGATTTCCTTTTAAAGACGAAGCTTCCTCTGTGGTAAGTGTTGTCGGTCTGTTTCTATTCACTCTCAGTGGAAAACAAGTAAAGCAAGCAGGTTAAACATGAAGCAGTGGAGAGAAAAGCAGGACTCGTTTAGCTCAGACGAGTTAGTAGAGAAACACACTAACATGCAGAAACACACACACACACACACACACATGCTCAGTGTACCAATCTGTCCAGAGGCGATGACATTTTTGTATTTTGGGTGCTGATTGGCGGTGAGAGAGAGGATGTCATCAGTGTGTTCCAGGTAGAAACTCTGAGTTCCTGCAGCACAAGACGTCACATGAACACATCACTTTGATGCACTGATTAAAACATAGTTATGTATCCCATGAAATCCTTAAAAGCACACTTTTCCTTGAAGTAGAAGTTCTGAGTACTTCTTATCTGCATGACCTCATAACTGTGGACATGTTTACACATTTAAAGAATGTCATGGGCTCTGTTAGCTGATAAGGATAAGCTGGTGAAAGAGGATGGAAGGAAAGAGAGGAGAGGAGGAAAAGAGGAGACTTAACAAACAAAATAACCCGACCAGTCAGAAAAGGTCAAAAGTGTGTGTTATGACTGGTTACCAGTGGAGAGGCTGTGGACGATGGCGGTGGCAGCAGTGTGGTAGACGATGTCGGTGCCGTCGTTGAGGTAGTGCAGGTTGTTGCGACAATCGTAGCCCCGAAAACCAAACACGTGATCCAACACCATGTCCTACAAGAGAGAGGAGGAGACAGGTAAACAGGAGGGCAGACAGACGGACAGACAGAGAGACAGGTAGAGAGAAAGACAAACCTCCACCAGTCTCTTCTTCTTGGAGACGTTGTTCTTCTGGAGTTTCTCCGGCTGCGGCGCCGCTCGACTGACCGGAGGCCTGGAGGACCAATCAGACTATTAATCAAGTAATCAATAAACCTCCATCAAAGACGGGTGGAGGAACAGTCAGTGAGACAGCATGGTCAGTCTGAAGACAGACAGGTCAGCCACAGACAGATGGGTTCTTTTTGTTCCTTCTGTCACAAAATCTACTAGTGCTATGAATACTGAGTACTTAAATAACTTAGAAGTAGTAGTAAGCTAACTAACAGTTGTAACACAAGTAGTAACAGTAAGAAAGAAGTGGCAGTGTGGTAGGTATTTGTAGCAGTACTCATGGTATCAGCAAAGCTAAGAGTAAGAGAAAAAGGTAAAGCAGTGAGTAATAGTTGTGAAAGTAATATTTAGTAAAAGAGTATCCTGTAATAGTAGTACCTTACTGTAGTAGTAGTATTACTACTAGCAAAAGTTATATTATGGTACTATAAATGGTAATAGCGAAAGTACTGGTGTAGTAAGTAGATGTGGTAGATGTACTGAGCAATACTAGCATTATCAGATAAACGTGACAGTAAAGTAGTTTAGTGAAGGCCTTTGCACACCAAGTCTGTATTTTTCATCAACATTTCTGCACGTTTAAAAATAAATACAACCTCACATTTACAAATCAAGTCAGAAATTTTGTCTTTTCCTTAAAGTTTTCGGAACAGGTTTGATTTTCTGCGGTTTCTCACGCAAACCTTAGAGAGTTGTTTGACCGCTCAGAGCCACCATACATGCAAACGTCATCATCCAAGATGGCATTGATAAACTGATTAACTTTGTCTACCAACACAAAGCACTTTGTTACAAATAAAGTAAAGAACACTGATATTAGTATTACTATTATTACTTCTTTTACAACCATTTAAAATAACTATAGAGACTCTTCTGCCAAAATCTAGATTCATTCCCCAAAAAATGTGAGATTCTGAGATTATAAATCCAGACAGTTTGAGGTAATGCCAACAATCTCTCACACACACACACACACACACACACACACACACACACACACACACACACACACACACACACACACACACACACACACACACACACACACACA